AATGTTGATTTCTGTGTGTTGTGTATTGTTATTTTTAGATATCTTTCGTGTTGTTGTGTGGAAAATACTAATAATTTAAAAAAAAAAATACTTCTATTGCATTCAGACATGATTTTGCTTTTCTGTTCTAGGGGTGGTGGAAACAGGCCTGTTTATCGACATGGCGGAACGGGTTTACTTTGGCATGGAAGATGGTTCTGTCAGCGTCCGGGAGAAGCCAGTCCACTGACCGCCACCCAGCCCCCAAATCTACTCTGCCTTCAGCCCATTGCATACAGTTTATCACTTTGGTGCCAATTTGACATCTTGCCTTAAATCCTGTCCCGATCTTGGTGAATGTAACCAAAGGTCCAGCAGATCTCACTAATACTGGAAATGAATGTTGTTTTAAATTATATTTTTTACTATTTTTTCATGTAAATCATTTTTTTTAAAAAAGCAAAATGTGATCAATCATTTTGAGCATTTTAAACTTTTTTTTCACTTTGGTTTTTATACAAAACATTTTACCAAAAAGGATATTTTATACAGTACTTGAACCATCGGGTTGCTCGGAGTGTGTCTAGCGGGGGGAGAAAATAGAAGTTGCATTTTGTGGTATTTGCATTAACACCCCCCCAAAATGCATTGACGCAGAAGGGTTTGTGCCCAGTTGGTACTCGCAGATGCCTTATTAGAATCTTTTTCGGTTCTCTGATTTATGCCTTTGAATGATTTTTACCATAACTGTTTTTAACAGGGAATGTTTAGTCTCAGTATAGATAATTTGCTGATAATTTGTGCTGTTGGCCTCCATGGAATTTGTATGGCATGGGATCAGCCACGACGTCCATTCCACGCAAGAAATTCATACCTTTAAAATAATATATGAAATAATAAAATAATATACTTTGGAAATGTTTCAGGCCCCCCCCGCCCAACTTCCCCAATAATGGATGGCTGAAATTCGAGGCTGCCTAGCCATCCGTACAGGTGAAGATGCACTGGGTTAATGCCCAGTTTAACAATTTTGGGCCCAGTTGGAGTTTCAAAGAGTTCCTGGCCCTCCCTTTGCATGACCACATTTTCACAGAATGCTGCTTCGAAACACGTCCACAGAACGAGCCTTACTGGAAGGATTGTATTAATGTAGCAAGGCACTTTTTTTAAAAAGAAAAAACCTGTTGTCGCTCATCTCTTAAGTGCTTTGCATGATAACGGTGTCAGAAATGTACGACTCGTCGTTTTTGTTTTAGGCACTGAAATTAAAGAGCTGTAACGCCAGCCATTTGTGTGTTCGTGTTTGTTCTTAAACGCCTTTCTGATCTGTCCTTTGGTCCCCGGATTGGGCCAAAGTGCCCCGTGCTTCATCTGCCCCAAATTGGTGCCTGAAACAATTCGGGGACAGGGCTATGGGTTTTTCAAAATCCTGTTTTAGAAACGCAGTCAGTAGTGGTGAACCGGCATCATGCAAGATTGGATCCTGACGCTTAACAGGATCCAATCCTGTGCCCAGTTGCTTCAGGGAAACAACATCAAACCTAGCGTTACGTAAAATACATTCAACAAACCCACAAAACATAACTGGCTGTGCATTCACATAAACCATGCTCTTCTGTATTTATCACAGTATCAAATATTTCTCTTGCTCGTAATCAACACATAAAGTACAACAAAGTAAATAGAAGTCCCAATAGATCAGTTCATTCAGAGAGTCCAAATATTTGCTAGTTTCTGTTCCACGTATGTCTTTGTATGTTCATAAAATCCAAATGGGAGCTTACTACAGTTCCATAGAATCTTGACAAGGATTTCCAGAATAATGCCTTGTTTCGCACTCCTGGGCTTCATCAGTTGTTTCTGCAGAAACCACCATATCATACTGGTACATATTTACCAAAGACCACCCCAAAATCATCATAGGAGGTAGTCTACAGCAGAAATCCAGTCTGCCAGGATACCTGATAATGGTCACTGGTTGCATTACCTGGGCAGCCTGGCCATTCTTTGGTGATGGTTAATGTTAAATTGTGGGTGAACATATCAGACAACACAGTGATTCTTCAAACAGCTCTTGTTTATTCACAGGCCAGAACAGAACTGAATAGAAGGGTTCAGCCAGCCTGCTTATATAGAGCTCCACTACAACGCAACAGTAACCACTTTCTGTAACTATCCAATCACTGAACATCACTTTCAATCCCGTATTTGCATATGTGGACCTGAGTGAAAACTATCTGCAGTATCTCCCTGCTGGCCCAGGGTGAGAACTTCAGTACATAACAGTTAATACTTTAGTTCACGGGTAGGCAAACTAAGGCCCAGGGGCCAGATCCGGCCCAATCGCCTTCTCAATCCGGCCCACAGACAGTCCAGGAATCAGCGTGTTTTTACATGAGTAGAATGTGTGCTTTTATTTAAAATGCATCTGGGTTATTTGTGGGGCATAGGAATTTGTTCATCCCCCCCAAATATAGTCCGGCCCCCCACAAGGTCTGAGGGACAGTGGACTGGCCCCCTGCTGAAAACCTTTGCTGACCCCTGCTATATTAACCCCTGCTGAAGCTGGGTAGAATAATGCTTCTGAGATGCTCCGTTTTTTAAGACGGTGTTGTAAATTTGGAAGAGCCAGGTTTTGCGGCTGGAGCGAGGCCTGGGTTCAAATTCCCCTCAGCCTTGGTGATTGGGTTATTTATGGGGCATAGGAATTCATTCATATATTTTTTTCAAAATATATTCAAAATATTTCAGGTCTGAGGGACAGTGGACCGGCCCCCTGCTGAAAAAGTTTGCTGACCCCTGCAAGTTTAGTTCCTGAATCCAGGTCACAGGCTCACCCTATTCACACACAAATAGGCTCTTAAGACAGGATTTGTAAGCGAAAAGACATACCCCATTTGCCTCCCTTACCGCAGAGGAATATTTGAGGTCATTGGGTGAGTCCAAATGGCTTCAGGATTGCTCTCCTTTCAGACACATAGTTTATATATTTAGATATGCGAGCATTTATGAATATTTATTCTATATTTGAGACCTTAGAATTCTTATGACAGCGCTGGTCCTGCAAACTTTAGCGGCAATGGCTCCATGTTCACCTTTGGTTGAAATTTGGCTGAGGCGATGAGTATGGCACAGTGATACAGTTCAGCACAAAAACCTATCTGGCAGGCCTCGTAATGCCAGCCAGCTGTATCAGAACCTATCAATTCATGCTTAATAGGAAGTATAATAATAATAATAATAATAATAATAATAATAATAAAAAACACTCCCCTTTCTAAACCCCATACACTTATTTATCAAGGTATGCATTTGGTTCTGAAAAGAAATTACAGTGGTACCTCAGGCTACATACGCTTCAGGTTACATACGCTTCAGGTTACAGAGTCCGCTAACCCAGAAATAGTGCTTCAGGTTAAGAATAGTGCTTCAGGTTAAGAACAGAAATCGTGCTCAGGCGGCATGGCGGCAGCAGGAGGCCCCATTAGCTAAAGTGGTGCTTAGGTTAAGAACAGTTTCAGGTTAAGAACAGACCTCCGGTACAAATTAAGTACTTAACCTGAGGTACCACTGTACCAATATTTACACTAGAAAAAAATTGTTTTAGCACCGTGTGCGTGTACGCAAATTTCAGACCAGCTGGGTATTAACGTGCCCAATCAAATAGCCAATGTTTCACGGAACAAAGAATGGCCAATTTTGGTTTCATGCTTTGTGGACCTGAAATGTGCACACATTTTCTCTCTTTGCCACTCAGACAGACACACAGACCAAAACTGTTGGTTGTTTCTTTATCTTAAAGTGGTCAATAATGCTACTCAGGAACCAGGTTGGTTTCAGAGGTGTATGTTTGCAGTTTGACCTGCTTAGCTGCTGGTGAGGAGGAGTGATGGCTTGCAACGTTTGGTTGTTATGTTTTCGAAAATAAAACTAAGAAAGGTATTGTGGACAACTGTTTATTCCTACCTGCCATTCGCTGAGCACACTCTGTGTTGATGAAGTTCAACAAAACCTACCTTGCTTTCTGTTTGTTTCCTTGAAAAACCAGTCAAAAAACACACGAGGAATCATTTGGGTCACCCATTTGGCTTGCTAGGTCCCTCCAGCACCCCATAACTTCAGGCTTCTGTGGTGGGGCCTGGTGAAGTCCACAACCAATCAGTGGGGCCTGGACATGTTGCTCATGGCTGTACTGTTAACAAATTAACTGCTCTTGAACAAAGTGTGCCTGTCACTTTACATTGGGGAAAACCATATTGTGTGTTTCTTAATACCTTTTTGGTGTTTTGAAACCTTTTGAGTGACACAGAAGAAGTTCCAAAGGAAGAGGTTGCAGTAGATCACAATGAGTGGTTCACCTAATGAATTTTATCTGTAAGCCGTATTTTCTCCAAAAAAGGAGAGATATGTACCTTATTTCGCTATGTGCAGATTTTCTGGGTTCTGATGCCTGGCAAATATTTTACATTTGTGCCATTGAATTTGGCATTGTGCCTTGGTTTCTAATTGAGACAGTTAGAAGATAAGAAATCTGCAATGGGGAGGTTATCTGTTTTTCGGACGTGATTGAGGATCGCAGAGCCAGTGGCAAAGAGGTCTGGAGAGATAAAATCGGATATGGAAATATGAAAATATTGTGAGAGGCAGGACTGAGATATGGATACGCTTTGAGGTTCAGACTGTGGGAAGTCGTAAAACCAAAATTACAATTCGGAAGACAATTTGATCTTTTTTATTTATTTATTTATTTTTATTGGATTATGATTTGATATGTTAAGTGGATGTTTTTTATTGGAAAATTAATAAATGCTCTAACAACAACAACAAAAAGAAATTTGTAATGTGGAAAGCCGGGACTGAAAAGATCCCTAGGTAATAATTACTTGTTGAAAAAAACCCCAAACGTATCTTGTAATTCATGACATGAGATCTTCTGAGTAAGTCTACCGTCTAGATCATTTGCATAGATTTCCATCCCTGGCACTTAATAACTCCCCCAATTTTATCCCCATCACTCGGAAGCTGGGCTGCTTGGTGATGATAATACCTGGGAGGCAAGCGTTCCACCAACAGCAACATCATGCTACAGATTTGTTTGATTTGGCTCATCTCGAGTTTCTTTGAGGGTAACTTTTCACAGAGATGTCATTCCTTGCAAATTTCTCCGGCAGGCGTTACGGATTCAGTAACCTATTGTTGTTTTTTTCTCCTCTCCTCCCAGAAGCCAGAGGGCAGATTGTCGTCACCCAGACCCCAGCATCTTTACAGGCGAATCCTGGGGACAGAGTCACCATCCAGTGCAAAGCTTCCTCTTCCATGGGTGATGATATGGCCTTATATCAGTTTAAACCAGGACAGAAACCCAAGCTTCTTATTCATGATGCTACGAGCCGTTTTGAAGGGACCCCAGATCGCTTCAGTGGTACCTACAGTAACACTGACTTCTCCTTCACCATCAGCGACGTCCGTGCCGAGGACGAAGGAAGCTATTTCTGTGGCCAATACAACAGCTTTCCTCTCCACAGTGATACACTTCAGTACAAAAACCACCTCAGTGCATTAAGGCAGGGGAGAGAAATGGAACTGGTGTTTTGCAGCAGCAGCAGCACCACCCTTCTAGCTTGCTGGAATGGAGGGTGAGAGAACAACTGAAAGCCCATGCAGATCAACCAAAAGAAAGCCAGGATTTTGGATTCTCTAAGAACTTTGCTTCCAGGGAAGCTGTGCACAATGTTAAAGAGGCGGCAGCTTCACCTCAGCCTCAGTCCAAGGCACAGGTACATCAGAAGTTGCCTTGCACTGAGTCAAACTATTGGTCCACCCAGCCCAGGGCTGGATTAGCCACTAAGCAAGATAAGGACACGGGTGGCGCTGTGGTCTAAACCACTGAGCCTAGGGCTTGCCGATCGGAAGGTCGGCGGTTCAAATCCCTGTGATGGGGTGAGCTCCCTTTGCTCGGTCCCAGCTCCTGCCAACCTAGCTGTTCGAAAGTAGATAAATAGGTACCGCTCCGGCGGGAAGGTAAACTCTGGGGTTGCGGCGCTCATCTCGCTTTATTGGCCGAGGGAGCCGGCGTACAGCTTCCGGGTCATGTGGCCAGCATGACTAAGCCGCTTCTGGCGAACCAGAGCAGCGCACAGAAACGCTGTTTACCTTCCCGCCGGAGCAGTACTCCTCCTCTCCACAGTGATACACTTCAGTACAAAAACCAGCTCAGTAGCCTAAGGCAGAAGGATGAAATGGCAGCAGGTGTCTTGCATCAGCACCCTCATTTCAGCTCACAGAATGGGAGAAGACTGGAAGAGAGAATAGGAAAGGGGTGAGGACCAATGGCCTCTGAAGTTCCACCAGGAGGACGGCTGCTTGGACATGGCTGTTGAAGAAGACCACACTTTCTTCTCTGTTTAAGGCACATGAACTGCCGTATACTGAGTCAGACATGGCGTCCAGAACTCTGTATTTTCTACACTGACTGGCAGTGGTTGTCCAGGATCTCAGTCTTGAGTTTTCCCCACCATACTTGGAGAGGTCAGGAACCTGGGACCTTTTGTATGCAGTGCAGATCATGTGGGCCAAGGCAAATTGGCAAGGAGTGGAACTGCATGAGGGCTTGATGTGTACCAGGCCAGAAGGCCATCTCCCACTTCTTCCAGGACTTGGGACAGAGACCCATGGCACAAAGGTGCTGTTCTGAGAACTAAGATTTCATGTGGCTGGCCCATTGCAGTCCAGCATATCCAGCCTGTAAGAAAAAGCTTTTTTGGGTTTTAAAATGGTTAAAAAGAGTGGGGGGAGGGCAGGATGAGATCTGTGGCCCAGTGCAAAAGTCCTGGGGCCTGGACCTCATGGACCATCCCGTGACAACAACTCTCCTTGCCTACGTGAGCATCTGGTGAAATGAGTGGAGTTGGCAGTGATGGTCTTGGTCTCTGCATGGTGGAGAGTACAAAGGGGTAGAACCTCAGCTTTGCATGCAAAAGGTTCCAGGTTCAATCCTTGGAATTTTTAGGTATGGCTGGGGAAGAGAACCCTGTCTGAAACCTGGAGACCTGTTGATGATCAGTGTTGACACTTCTTTTTTTTCTTTTTTTTTAAATGGTATTTATTAAAGTTTCAAAAAATACAAAAAATACAAAGTACAGAAAGAAAAGAAAATAAAGTTTTTAAAATATAGCCATAAAAGTAAATAATAATAATAATTAAAAAAACATACCAAATAAAACAGTTAAAAAGACATTAATTTTCCATAACCTATCTTCCCTATACTTATTTCCCCGGACCGCCTCATACCTCCCTTTTTTGTATTCCAGTTCAATTTGTTAGTTCAGCAAATCCTTACCATTAAGGTTTTACTCAGTTGCAAAACCTTTTTTCATGTCTCTTAAGGCATTACAGCTAAAAACCTCTTAGTTTCTATCCAGCATCCTTCTAAGATTCCTTAATTTTACAATATTTCTGTAAATAGTCTTTAAATTTCTTCCAGTCTTCTTTCACCGACTCTTCTCTCTGGTCTCGGATTCTGCCAGTCATTTCCGCCAGTTCCATGTAGTCGATCACCTTCATCTGCCATAGTGTTGACACTTCTTAGCTAGATACACCAATGGTTCAACTTGGTCAAAAGCATCTTCCCTATCTTTCTACTACAGAGTCCACTGGAATGACGTTGGGCCAAGAGGTGGCCCTCTCTGCCTAGTGAAGGTGCTACAAGCGTAGGCATCAAACAAGAGCATTCAGAAACAAGGGTCTGAAAGCTCATTGAGACAGATCTTGGGAATGGAGCACTGAGATGAAGCCAACCAGCCCGGGCTATTGAGGGACCTCTACTTTTGGAATAAGAAGTCAATGCATAACCAGTGCTTTTTTTCTGGGGGGACGCAGGGGTATTCATACCCCTAAACATTTTGTGAATCTAGGTTTGGCCTCATTGAGGGGCAATATATCAACATGAGTAGGAAAATGAGAAGAGTCGTGAGTGGCACTGTGGGTTAAACCACAGAGCCTAGGACTTGCCGATCAGAAGGTCGGCTGTTCGAATCCCCGCGACGGGGTGAGCTCCTGGTGCTCTGTCCCAGCTCCTGCCAACGTAGCAGTTCGAAAGCACGTCAAAGTGCAAGTAGACCAATAGGTACCGCTCTGGCGGGAAGGTAAACGGCGTTTCCGTGCGCTGCTCTGGTTCACCAGAAGTGGCTTAGTCATGCTGGCCACATGCTGTACGCCGGCTCCCTCGGCCTATAGAGCGAGATGAGCCCAGAGTCGGTCACGACTGGACCTAATGGTCAGGGGTCCCTTTACCTTTACTTTAGGAAAATGAGAGTAGCCCTAAACATTTTTTTCGGCAGAAAAGAGCACTGGGTTCAGCTGCAACTGACATTATTCCGTTTCGTTGTGCTTGCGGCCAATAAAGGTTCTGTAACCATGTCAGTACACGTAACTGACCACTTCATTTCTGGTTTGCATGAAATCATTTCCAAATAAGGAATATGATTTGTAAGGATCACATTTCTGGAGTGGGGTGGAGGAAGTCAATACATAGATAACTGTTGCGACTAAGTGTCTGCAAGTGCTCTGTAGGATGCATGAAACAAGTACAATGGAGTACCCATGGATTTGAGCTGTGTTTTGCACTCTAGTTTCACAATAAAATCATTTGGGAAGAAAGAAGCAACCAAATCAAATTTATAGAGAAAGACATGACATCGTAAATCACCACAGAACTGTCACTCTGATTGGTTAAATTCAAAATGGTATCGTTTTCCAACAATTAACCGTAAACGAAGGGCCCTGAGTTTACATTGGCCTATCATACTTACTCCAACATGCACAGTTGTTTTATATTCCATGTTAGAGCTTTCCGTAATTCCCACTCAGCCTTACTAACAACATATTCTCCAATGTTACCTTCTTCATATTGAGCTTTTTGAAGACAATGTGCATTTTAAATTGGAAATGCCCATTCAGTGCTTATTTGAGTTCATAACGCTGACAAAGTTACTTGATCCAACAGCTCATGAGTCCCACACCATACAAAAAATTCTTACATCTCTATTCAACAATAGGTAAAGGTAAACGTACGCCTGACAGTTAACTCCAGTCACGAACAATTCTGGGGTTGTGGCGCTCATTTCGCTTTAGTGGCTGAGGGAGCCGGCGTTTGCCTGCTTCCACAGACAGTTTTTCCGGGTCATGTGGCCAGCATGACTAAGCCGCTTCTGGCGAAGCCAGAGCAGTGCACAGAAACGCCGTTTACCTTCCTGCCGGAGCGGTACCTATTTATCTACTTGCACTTTTGATGTGCTTTCGAACTGCTAGGTTGGCAGAAGCTGGGACCGAACAATGGAAGCTCACCTTGTCGCGGGGATTCGAACCGCCGACCTTCCGATCGGCAAGTCCAAGCAACGCAGTGGTTTAAACCATAGCGCCACCCACATCCCTCTATTCAACAATAGCTCATCTTAAAAAGAGTTTCAGAAGGTCATGCTACTTCAAGTTACCTCTTGACTTCAGGAATGATTCCAGCTCACCCTTGTTCCTGTTCAGTACATGGAATATGAAGAGTGGAGTTCTGGGATGATGATTCTATATCCATGTCATTGGCATGAAGAACAACTCCCTTCCTCCTCCAAGAGAACATGTGACGACACTTTAATTCTGTCCATGTCAAACAGCATAATATTTAGGTTCTAGGTATGTAGCTGCAAGTATCACTTCATATTCAAACTGCTGCTTTTCATATATATTTTTCCTCATGTTGCCTACCAATGTGCTAGAAAACTATATTGACTGCACTTTAGCAATTGCCAGCTGGCACCTCGACCATGCCCCACTGAAATCCCCTGTGGCCACCCGCTCAGATGGCAGAATTATTGTTGCCACTTGGCAGGTGCTGGTGCAACTGTCAAGTTTCTGAACTGATATTCAGTCCTTCTCACAGGTTCCCGTGGCCCCAAACTGCTATGTCTTGACACAGCTCCCATCGTTCCAACAGTCTCTCCAACATGTCACAGCTTCAGCTCCATCTTGGAGGGCAATTCAAGTTGTGATTCTACCATTCTCTCTCTCTCTCTCTCTCTCTCTCTCTCTCTCTCTCTCTCTCTCTCTCTCTCTCTCTCTCTCTCTCTCACACACACACACACACACACACAACTCTCCCAATGCCCAAGTTGACCCATTGAAACCCCTGCTGAGTGGGATCCGAACCTTGCTCCACCATCAAGAGTATATTCAGAAGCTGGCTGAGCTCTGCAGTGTGTGTGGGAATTAGATCAACTGATGGATCAATAGATCCGTCTATCAATCAATGCCACCTTTGCTCCAAGGAGCTCAGGCTGGCTTACATAATTCTCCCTTTCCCACTGTATTGTTACAGCAACCCTGTGAGGTATTTTAGGGTATGAGAGGGTGTGGTTAGTTCAAGCTCATCCTGAGAACTTCTTGACTGAGTGGTATTTGGACCGTGGTTGGGTTGTGCCGTTCCAACTGCTACAGTGCCCAGGCTCTCTGAGTGTCAGTTCAAGAGAGGAGATACAGCTCTAATGAAGAAATCCACACATTATTTGAGATTTCAACAAGAACTGGACAAAAAAATTATCAATTAATGAAAGACCTAAGCTGAGAACTAAGGACCTGAAAAGACAGGAGAGGGGTAACTTTGTGAGATGCTTGGGATGCCAAGACAGCTCACTGCTTCTCTCAAGGGCACCAGAGGGGATTACAGAGGATTACAGTTCATCATAGGGATGCGGGTGGCGCTGTGGGTTAAACCACAGAGCCTAGGACTTCCTGATCAGAAGGTCGGCGGTTCGAATCCCCGCGACGGGGTGAGCTCCTGCTGCTCAGTCCCAGCTCCTGCCAACCTAGAAGTTCGAAAGCACGTCAAAGTGCAAGTAGATAAATAGGTACTGCTCCGGCGGGGAGGCAAACGGGGTTTCCGTGTGCTTCTCTGGTTCGCCAGAAGGTGCTTAGTCATGCTGGCCACATGCCATACGCCGGCTACCTCAGCCAATAAAGCGAGATGAGCGCCGCAACCCCAGAGTCGGTCACGACTGGACCTAATGGTCAGGGGTCTCTTTACCCTTTACCTTTATAGTTCATCATCTTTGAACAAGCAACAACCTTTAATCAAGATCCACTGAACTGAGAGGAGAAAGCCATTCAGGGGTTAATGTACTCTCCACTACAGGACAGCGTTCCTGAGCTGTGAATTTAGTTTCTCCTCCCCTTTATCTCCTTGCTTCTGCTATAACAACTGATGGCTGATACAGTGGTACCTTGGAGTACATACGCTTCAGGTTACAGACTCCGCTAACCCAGAAATAGTGCTTCAGGTTAAGAACTTTGCTTCAGGATGAGAACAGAAATCGTGCTCTGGTGGTGTGGCAGCAGCAGGAGGCCCCATTAGCTAAAGTGGTGCTTCAGGTTAAGAACAGTTTCAGGTTAAGAACGGACCTCCGGAACGAATTAAGTACTTAACCCGAGGCACCACTGTATTGTTAAGCAAAATGCCTAGTTCAAACCTTAAACTACACCTGTCTTCCTTCTGGTGAGACAAAAACCATGCTCTGCCTCAAGTAATACTACCAACCCATATTTTCCTCCTGTAGTATTTCCATATAAATATGCTGCCTTTTATATACTAGGTGCAAATTTTCTCTATTCTGGTGTTCCTTTGCATTCATGTAAGTGAATTTGGGATTGTGTCCTTTACTTCTAATGGAGTGAGATATAAGGTGGAATATCTATTATGCAGGAAACTGGAGCAGAAAACGATCTCTGCGGAACGTTTTCTTTACAGATAGGGAAAACTATTTTGTAATTCAGGAGCTCAGATCTTCACATTCATGTTTCTCATTGATTGCTGTCTGTATCTTCCTTGGGTTCCTTCTGTCTTAAAGCACAATCCCCACAGGAAGGGACTCTCATCCCTTGAACCCCTTCAAGTCATTTGCATAGATTTCCATCCCTGACACTTAATAACTCCCCCAATTTTATCCCCGTCATTCTGAAGCTGGGCTGCCTGGTGGTGATAATATCTGGGAGCCAAGAAAGAGTGTCATCCACAGCAGCAGCAACATGTTACGGATTTGTTTGATTTGGCTGGTCTCCAGTTTCTTTGCGGGTAACTTTGAAGAGCTGCGTTTTTCTCTCTGAATTTTTAAGGCAAATGTTGCAGATCCACTAACTTGTTTTATGCCTCTCCTTCCAGAATCCAGTGGGCAGATCATCACTCAGACACCGGCTTCTTTACAGGCAAGTCCTGGGGACAGAGTGACAATCCAGTGCAAAGCTGCCTCTTCTGTCGGCCGTTATATGGCCTTATATCAGTTTAAATCAGGTCAGAACCCCAAGCTACTGATTCATTTGGGTTCAACCCGTTTTGAAGGGACTCCAGATCGCTTCAGCGGCAGCCAAAGCGGCAACGACTTCTCCTTCACTATCAACGGTGTCCACGCCGAGGACGAAGGGGAATACTACTGTGGCCAATACAACAGCTATCCTCTCCACAGTGATACACTTCAGTACAAAAACCAGCTCAGTGGCCTAAGACAGCAGGAAGGAATGGCAGTGGGTGTGTTGCAGCAGCACATAACCCTTGCAGTTTGCTGAATGAGAGGGGGCTGGAATGGAGTATGAGAAAGGGGGTGAGGACCAATGGCTCTGCAGATCAACCAATAGGAAGACAGCCTGGGCCTGACTGTTCCAGGTGATCACACCTTTTCCTCAGACTCCTCCTCCTCCTATTATTATTATTATTATTATTATTATTATTATTATTATTAACTGAATTTATATATGTCCATATGACATATATATGACATATAATTTTTATATGTCAGACCATGTCTGAGCCACAAGAAGATGGCCCATTTTTTTTATTCTGATTTTGTCATGAAATTATTTGGGAAGGGGAAAAGAAGCAAGCAAAGACATTTTAAAGAGGAGGGGGGGTGGAAAGAACTTGGTAAATCACCACAAGACCAGTGCTTTTTTTTCTAAAATAATGTTTAGGGGTACTCTCATTTTCCTACTCATATAGAAATACTGCCCTTCAATCTTCATTCACAAAATGTTTAGGGGTATGCGTCTCCCTGTGTCCCCCCAGAAAAAAGCACTGCGTGACAAGACTGACCCAGGACAGATTATATTGTTTTCCAACTAATTTATGAAAACTGAGGAAACAAAGGATTATCAACCATAAACAAGTATACCTGAGTTGATATTGGCCTATCATATTCCCAGCATGCATTGTTGTTTTGTACTCAGTATTGGAGCTTCCTGTAATTTCTGTTCAGTCTTACCTCAGACCTTTTCCTTCATGTCGAGTTTTTAGATCACAATATGCATGATGCCATGATTCTAAATTGTAAATATACATTCAGGGCATACTTGAGGCACTCTCACATCCAGATTATTTCCTGAACTCCCCCCAGTATTTCAAATATTTACATCTCATCCTCGTCGCTTTTCTGTTCATGGACTTTGCAAAGGAGAGTCCAGGGGTGACTATCTTATACTCATGTCATTGGCATGAAGAATAATTTCCATCCTCTTGCTTGGCAACATGGGATGACACTTGGCTTTAATTCTGTCCATGTCACATAACCAGGATATTTAGGTTCTAGGCATATAGCTGCAAGTATTATTACTCCATATTCAAAAAATGATTTTTCATGTGTTTTCTCCTCATGCTGCCTACCAATGTGCTAGAAACCTGAATTGGCAGGACTTTAGAGATTGCCAGCTGACGGCTCAACCATGTCTCATAGAAATCCCCTGTGGCCACCTGCTCAGATCGCAGCGTTTTCGTTGCCACTTTGGCAGGTGACAAAGCAGCTGTCAGTTTCTGAACTGATATCCAGTCCTCGTCGCACATCATCACGGCTGCATGTTGCCATGTCTTGACAAGATGGCTTTCTTCCATTTCAACACTCTCCACCTTTCCTCCAAAGAGTTCAGGCTAGCACACATAATTCTTACTCTCCCCGTTGTATCTTCACAACAACCCTGTGAGGTCAGCCAGGGTGAGAGGGTGAGACTGGCCCAGGCTCAACCAGTGAACTCTTTAGCTGAGTGGGATTTGTTTTTTGTTTGTTTGTTTTTTTATATAATTTTTTATTAAAGTTTTAAACAACAACAAAAGAAAAACAACACACACAAAAAACAATACAAAGCTTAACAATAAAAACACAAAGCATAACAATTAAAAACAAACTCTCTTTTCCATTTCCAATTTTAAATTACTTATTTTCTGGACTTCCTCATACCTCCCTCTTTTGTATTCCAATCCACATTATTTGTCCAGCAGTTTCTTTTCCACTTTTTTAATCCCAATCTTTAATTTAATAAAATGTTAAAATATATAACTTCAACTTTTTTAAACCTAATCCTTGATCTTAATATCATATAACTTTAAAGTTTTCCCTTTTAATATCAAATTTCCATTTCTTTAAACATCTTTAATCTTGATCTTTAATCTTAATCTATCCTTAACTTTAACCTGTACAGCTGGAAACCACTTGTTTTCAGTCCAACATCACTCTAACATTCCTTAATTTTGCAGTGTTTCTGAAGATAGTCTTTGAATTTCTTCCAGTCTTCCTCCATCGACTCTTCTCCCTGGTCACGGATTCTACCAGTCATTTCCGCCAATTCCATATAGTCCATAAGTTTCATCTGCCATTCCTCCAGCGTGGGAAGTTCTTGTGTCTTCCAATACTTTGCGATGAGTATTCTTGCTGCTGTTGTTGCATACATAAAGAAAGTTCTATCCTTTTTTAACACCATTTGGCTGACTATGCCCAGGAGAAAGGCCTCTGGTTTCTTAGGGAAGGTATACTTAAATACCTTTTTTAATTCATTATATATCATTTCCCAGAAAGCCTTAATCTTTGGGCACGTCCACCAAAGGTGAAAAATGTACCTTCAGTTTCTTTACATTTCCAACATTTGTTATCGGGCAAGTGATAGATTTTCGCAAGCTTGACTGGGGTTATGTACTACCTGTATATCATTTTCATAATATTCTCTCTTAAGGCATTACATGCCGTAAATTTCATACCTGTGGTCCATAACTGTTCCCAGTCAGCAAACATAATGTTATGTCCAACGTCCTGTGCCCATTTAATCATAGCCGATTTTACCGTTTCATCTTGAGTATTCCATTTCAGCAGCAAGTTATACATTCTTGACAAATTCTTAGTCTTGGGTTCTAACAATTCTGTTTCTAATTTGGATCTTTCCACCTGGAAGCCAATTTTCCTGTCCAATTTAAATACTTTAGCTGAGTGGGATTTGAAGCCCACTCCCCAGCTCCTAGGCTGATATTGTAACTGCTACAGTGCACTGTCTCTCCGGACATCAGTTCAGGAACTGACAGCTGCTCTGCCAATCAGCCAAAGTGTCAACTGAAACACTGGACTCTGAATATGTTGTGGGCGAAGACCTACTTACTACAGACACATTCACAGTACACCCAACACCAACACTGGGAAGCTGTCTGAGTAATGCAACTAGGACAGTTATTATGCAGAAAAGAGCAGTGATGTTCTCTCACCTATTATGCCACCAAAAGGTCTTTGACAGAACCTTATTTCAAAATTTGTATTCTCAGCATGCTTCCTTATTGCCTTGGCTGAGGGTTCCTATGGGCTTTTTGGCCATGACAATGCCTGCCATACCTTCCAACATTTCTCTGATCAAAATAGGGACATCCTATTCCATAGTAGTAGTTGTTGTCGTTGTTGGAATATTTATATCCCCGCCATCTGACTGTGTTGCCACAACCACCCTGAGTGACTTCCAAAAGTGGAACCTCGGTTTTCGAACGTCTTGGCTGCTGAACATCTTGGAAGCTGAATGCCGAAAACCCGGAAGTGAATGCTTCTGTTTTCAAACACGCCTCAGAAGTCAAACAGCTTCCGAGGCACATTTCTCTATTTTTTCAATTGAATTCTCCGACCGCCCATTGAGCGTCGGTTGTTAAATGTTTTGGAAGTCGAACTGTCTTCTGGAACGGATTATGTTTGACAACTGAGGTTCCACTGTATATAAAAACATAATAAGACATTAAAAATTTAAAACCTTTCCTGTACAGTGGTACCTCAGGTTAAGTACTTAATTCATTCCGGAAGTGAGTACTTAACCTGAAACTGTTCTTAACCTGAAGCACCACTTTAGCAAATGGGGCTTCCTGCTGCCGCCGCACCGCCAGAGCACGATTTCTGTTCTCATCCTGAAGCAAAGTTCTTAACCTGAAGCACTATTTCGACTTCCGGGGTGGCGCCATCGGCAATGGCAGACTCCCTCTGAACCGGAGGGACCAGCTCCGCGCAAAACGGGTCTTTTCCGCTGCGGCGAAGCGGGGACCCTTTTAGAAATCACAGGCGGATGAAGCCTGTGACCGTGGAACTTGGTGGGCACCCTTAGCGCCCCCCCAACCCACAAAGGAACCCACTAACGGGCTCCGAAGCGAAGAGGGGGAAGTGGCGCGGTGCTGTGAGTCAATTGCTTTTTCCGTGGAGCGAAGCCGCATAGCCGTTGCCGGAGAGCGCTGCCTTTTTCCTGGGACAATTTGGCATCTAAAATAATCACCCATGAGTACTTAAACATTGAACAATTGGACTTCAAATAAGAACTGGCAATTAGAAAGGAATTGGACTTAAAATTTTACCTTAATTTGGTACTGAAACGGGAAGGTCTAAACAGGAAGTCAGCCTTCCGTTTCCTTGTAGTCAGAAGAAAGCAAAGACAACGTAAACCAGAGCTTAGAAAATCACTTTCAAAGGATTGGTTTTCACCATTTAAAATCGTTGAACCCCCCTTCGGTAGCAGGAGAAGAAGGGGGATCTTTTTTTGGACTGTTTAAACCTGCAGAAGTGAGTTTAAAGTAAAGTAACTTTCCACCGTCCTGATCCTGGAGCGGGGTGTCAGAATTGACGTTTGAAGCTCATTGACCAGAGACAAATGTTTTTGACAGACAGTTAAAAGAAGAGTAACATTGTGATTCCACTGTTTCCTTTCGCATTTTAAAGGAACAAATATTGACAAAATATCTTAAAAAAAGAAACTTTGTTGCTATTGTCTTTAAAAGAAAGAACAACCAGAAGTTTTCCCCCTAGAGGGGGACTGTGAAACTGTAACTAATTCTAGGGAGCTTGCAGCTGCCACAGATTACAACAGTGGGAAAGGACTTGTGACCTTGCAGGACAATGTTTTCAGAAGCACTGTTGGGTGCTTTCTGTAAAATAAATGCCCTATTGGATCAGTTAAGCCAGAAGACGGATTTGATGACTAATGCGGCCAGAACATTTGAACAGGTAGTGGGAAACTATATGGAGCCCACCCAGGAACTTAAACAGGAGTGTGCCATGACAGAACAGTTGGAGAGAAGAGGATGTTGCTGAATCTTGGGTGCCAGAAAGGGAGGAACTTTTGGCCCTGCAGGAAAATGAGCCTTTGGACTTGACAAATGAACTTGGAAAAAACCAGATTTGGAAAGATAAAGTTTGGATTGATTTGGAAATGGGGGGTTGGACTGACCCCCCTATGCAGAGATGTTTGGACTTTCCGAGTCTGGCAATGGGCCATCAGATGCTTGGAGCTGTGGGGGCTCTCAATTTTGGAGGGAATTTGAAACATGTCTTAAAATACCACATGGAGTCTAATCTGGACTATGGGAAAGGGGCTGATTTGTTGAAAAGGGTCAAAAACACTACCAAGCTGGAGTTCCCACGAGTGAAAGGAAAATATGAAGAAGAGCTGCAGAAGGGACATGGAAGAGACTTGAAGGCCTCGGATATAAGATCACCAGGTTAATGTGCCAGACTAATGGGATAAAAAGGACTGACAAACCTGGGACCAGGAGGAAGGGATGCTGGAAGAAGATTGGATTGTTCTTATTTCTTTTTTCTATCATTAGGAATGTTTTATAAAATTGATGAATGTTAGAAAAATGTTGAAATGAAATTACTTGGCTCTTGTAAAAATGTTTAAAGAATTAGGTAAAAAGGTAATGGTTATGAGAAGTTGGTAAAAATAAGATTTAAGTCTTAAGCTTTAAGGTTTTTTATAAGATAAGATGAAAATAGAGTAAGGCAATGTAATGACAGAATACTATGAATTATGGAAAGGATTTGCTGTGACAACTATTAATCAAGATACAAGAAAAGGGAGGAGGAGGAGGTCATAGAAAGAAGGTAATGAAAGTGGAGAATTTGAAAATGATGGTTTTATTTTTTTTTATTTTTCTGTTTTGTCTTTTTTCTTTGTAATTTTTTTAAAAAATTCTTTTTTCAATAAATATCATTTAAAAAATAATAATGACCTGAAGCACTATTTCTGGGTTAGTGGAGTGTGTAACCTGAAGCGTATGTAACCCGAGGTACCACTGTACAGGGCTGCCTTCAGGTGTCTTCTAAAGCTTGTATAGTTACTTATCTCCATGGCTCTAGGGGTAACATAACTGCCAAAATTCCTCTGATGGAAACAGGGACATCCTAAGGAAAAGCGGGATATGCCAGCATCAAATCAGAAACTGGGATGGTTTCTGGAAATCCAGGACTGTCCCTGGAAAGCAAGGGACCCTTGGAGGATCTGAGTTCCCTCACCTTTCTGATTCCCCAGGCCTGTTCTAGACTTCACAATGGTTCATATTTGCAGAGCACTTATGAGAAAGCTAATCTCTTGGCATGCACATAGAACAAAGTTGTGCATATTTACAATGCATGCACTTAATGGACGGCAAAATGGGGAAACATGAAAGAATGAAGAGAGGCAACAGAGACTAAGCGGGTTTTTGGCATGATCGATCCTACATATGAGTGCAAGTATGCTATAGACAGTGCTAGACAATTCTTAGACCAAAAATTATCCATTAATGAAGATGATTGTATCTGAGGAGGTGAGAACTTCTCTTTGTTTCATTAAGTTTGCTTGAAATCTCCCTTGCTTTTCTTCTGCTTCATGCGTTGCAACATCCACCACAGATATTTATTCTGCCCTGAAGCACGATCCCACAGGGAGGGACATTCTTCTACTCATTTGAATACATTTCCATCCTTGACACTTCATAACTGCCCCAGTTTTATCCCTGTCGTTCTGGAGGGGTTGTCTGGCGGTGAGAATATCCCAGAGGGAAAGGGAAAGGTTTCATGAACAGCAGCATCATGTTTCAGATTTGTTTGATTTGGCTGGTCTCAAGTTTCTTTGAGGGTAGGTTTTAAGGCAGGGGTAGGCAACCTAAAGCCCTTGGGCTGGATGTGGCCCAATCGACTTCTCAATCCGGCCTGCGGACGGTCAAGGAATCAGCGTGTTTTTACATGAGTAGAATGTGTGCTTTTATTTAAAATGCATCTCTGGGTTATTTGTGGGGCCTGCCTGGTGTTTTGACATGAGTAGAATGTGTCCTTTTATTTAAAATGCATCTCTGGGTTATTTGTGGGGCCTGCCTGGTGTTTTGACATGAGTAGAATGTGTCCTTTTATTTAAAATGCATCTCTGGGTTATTTGTGGGGCCTGCCTGGTGTTTTTACATGAGTAGAATGTGTGCTTTTATTTAAAATGCATCTCTGGGTTATTTGTGGGGCCTGCCTGGTGTTTTGACATGAGTAGAAGGTGTGCTTTTATTTAAAATGCATCTCTGGGTTATTTGTGGGGCATAGGAATTCGTTCATTTCCCCCCCCCCCCAAAAAAATATAGTCTGGTCCACCACATGGTCTGAGGGACGGTGGACCAGCCCACGGCTAAAAAAGGTTGCTGACCCCTGTTTTAAGGGAAGTGTTGTTCTTCCTGAGTTTCTCTGGGAAATGGGCTGCCTTCACCATCTTCTTTTCTCTCCTCCTAGAATCCAGGGGGCAGATTGTCATCACTCAGACACCAGCTTCCCTACAGGCAAGTCCTGGGGACAGAGTCACCATCCTGTGCAGGGCTTCCTCTTCTGTCAACAGCAATATGGACTTCTATCAGTTTAAACCAGGGCAGAAACCCAAGGTGCTTATTTATTCAGGTTCAAGCCGTTTTGGAGCGACTCGGATCGTTTCAGTGGCAGCCACAGCAACACTGACTTCTCCTTCACAATCAACGGTGTCCATGCTGAGGACGAGGCAGAATACCACTGTTTCCAGCGCCAGAAGTTCCCACTCCACAGTGATACACTTCAGTACAAAAACCAGCTCGGTGGCCTAAGACGGCAGGAAGGAATGTTGGTGGGTGTTTTGCATCAGCGGCATTCATTGGCAGAGCATCTTTTTTGAAGTCAGTAGGTGTGGCGATCACACAGGGTCCCCGGACGTTTGATGGTCTATTGATCCCTGTGCCACCATTGTGCTCGCTTCCCCGCTGCCACCAACCTGTTACTCTTGGGTACAACACTGAGTCCAGACAGTTGTTAAAAGTGAACAAACAAACAAAAAAACCAAGTTTATTTTACAAACATTAACAAGTTTATGGTTTCTCAGACAATATTCCTGTCAGTATCTTAACTTTAGTTTCTTTACCGGCCTATACCTTCCCAATACCTTCTGACTGATTATCTCAATGGTTTGACTGACTCCTCTTAACAAATTCTCTTACTCTCTCACAGCAAACTAGTCCAACCCACAGACTTATCTTCTTTGTCTCTTCTAACTCCAGACTGTCTTCTCAACAACTCTAGTAAAGGGACCCCTGACCGTTAGGTCCAGTCGTGACCGACTCTGGGGTTGCGGCGCTCATCTCGCTTTATTGGCCGAGGGAGCCGGCGTACAGCTTCCGGGTCATGTGGCCAGCATGACTAAGCCGCTTCTGGCGAACCAGAGCAGTGCACAGAAATGCTGTTTACCTTCCCGCCTGAGTGGTACCTATTTATCTACTTGCACTTTGACGTGCTTTCAAACTGGTAGGTTGGCAGGAGCAGGGACCGAGCAACGGGAGCTCACCCTGTCATGGGGATTCGAACCGCCAATCTTCTGATCGGAAGTTCAAGAGGCTCAACAACTCTAACTCCCTAAAAACCTCTGTGCTTAAAACTTATACACAGTTAACTCTGCCCCTGGGTTCCCATTGGTTAGTCATTTTACAATTAGTTAACCCTTTCCCTATGAACCCAGTATGATGTCATACACATAGGAGGGCAAACGCCACAGAAGGTTCCAGGTTAAATCCCTGATATTTCCAGCTACAGCACAAGGATTCGATCCCTGATCTAAAATCCTGGAGAGTCCTCTCAGACTTGGAGTACATGGACAGGGTGGGTGGGTGTGTGTTAAAAACCTCACCTGCCGGATCCTGTTCCTTACTCCTAACCTAGTTTGAAGAACATTTTTGGAGCACTCAAATGCTTGCTTGCATGTTACGTGTTGACATTTGGGGTTGCCTATTTGCCCCGATTCATATTCAGAAAGCTATTTTTCATCTACTGTGTATATTGTTATGCTGCCTGCTAACATGCTTTTTTTAAAAAACTGTACCGGTGGTACTTCTGAGCTTTCCAGCTGACATTTCAAGCATGTCCCACAGAAATCCCCTGTGGCCAGTTGTTCAGATTTCAGCGTGTTCGCTGCCACTTTGACAGGTGGCAAAGCAGGCGTCAGTTTCTGAACTGATTCCCAGTCATTGCCACGGGGCACGAGGGGGCATACATTAGATTTGGTTCATATTTAAAGGTGAACCTACCAGATTAGCACTTTCCCAAACTACATGAGAACTGAAACACAAGTATGCTTAAGAATCTGCACTTACCTGAATTTTCCATACGTGGTAAAACCACGTATACCAAAAAAGTATATATTGGGGAAAGTAAGCACCAAATCAACATACTAGTGAGAATAACATACAAAAGCACATTCTGCTTAGGGGAAATTGCCAGAAAAACGATGTACATTAGTCAAAACTCTTTAACGGCTTTACCACACTGGCTCTGAGAATATTAGTTCAGAAACTGACATCTGCTCTGCCAATCTCAACTCAATGCCACAAAGTGAATTGTATTTGGAAGAGAAGGCCCAGTTGCACTCAGAGTATACAGTCGTACCCTGGTTGCTGAACGCCTTGGAACTTGTACGTTTTGGCTCCCGAATGATCAAAAACCGAAAGTGAGTGTTCCGGTATCCAAACGATTTTTGGAAGCTGAACATCCGGCACAGCTTCCGATTGGCTGCAGGAGCTCACTGCAGCCAATCAGAGGATGTGCTTTGGTTTCCAAATATTTTGGAAGTCGATCTGACTTCCAGAACGGATTCCGTTCGACTTCCAAGGTATGACTGTACTAGAAGACTGTATTGACTGCACTTTAGAGATTGCTGGTTGACACCTCAACCACGTCCCATAGAAATCCCCTGTGGCCGGCTGCTCAGACTGCAGCTTTTCATTGATACTTGGGCAGGTGCCAGAGCAGCTGCCAGTTTCTGAGGTGATATCCAGTCCTTGTCACAGGTTACCATAGCTACCTGTTGCCATGTCTTGACAACACTCGCGTAGTTCCAACAGTCGATCCAACCTACCATAGCTTCAGTGCCATCTTGAAGAGCTATCCAAGATGGATTTATTCTATTCTAACACCCACACACCACGTTTCCTCCAAAGAGATGAGGCTAGCATGCTTAATTCTCCATCTCCCCATTATATCTTCACAACAATCTTGCGAGGTTGGCCAGGGTGAGAGAGTGTGATTAGCCCAAGCTCACCCAGTCCACTCCTTAGTTGAGTGGGATTTGAACCCTGGTCCCCCAACACCCTAGGCTGATACTGTCACTGCTTCAGGCAGAAAACTGGAGCTGGCCTGAAAATATATCAAGGCAATATATTATTTCTGGAAAGATGAATTGTTTTGTAATTCAGCAGGTCAGATCTCCCTGTCTTGTATTTCAGAAAGTGAGGTCTTCTCATTTACTGCCGTCTGTGGGTCTGCAATGGGGCAGTGTGCCTTTGGGGGTGAAGTCAAACTGTTGGAAGGTTGCAGTGCCTCGTGGTTCCCCCTGGTTCATGAGCTGGAACCTCGACCACAGACGTTTCTTGTGCCCTGAAGCACAATCCCCACAGGAGGGGACTCTCATCCCTCGAACCCCTTCAAGTCATTTGCATAGATTTCCATCTCTGACACTTAATAACTCCCCCAATTTTATCCCCATCATTCTGAAGCTGGGCTGCTTGGTGGTGATACTATCTGGGAGCCAAGAAAGTGTGTCATCCACAGCAGCAGCAACATGTTACGGATTTGTTTGATTTGGCTGGTCTCCAGTTTCTTTGCGGGTAACTTTGAAGAGCTGCGTTCTTCTCTCTGAATTTTTAAGGCAAATGTTGCAGATCCACTAACTTGTTTTATGCCTCTCCTTCCAGAATCCAGTGGGCAGATCATCACTCAGACACCGGCTTCTTTACAGGCAAGTCCTGGGGACAGAGTGACAATCCAGTGCAAAGCTGCCTCTTCTGTCAGTAACTATATGGCCTTATATCAGTTTAAATCAGGACAGAAGCCCAAGCTACTGATTTATTGGGGTTCAACCCGTTTTGAAGGGACCCCTGATCGCTTCAGTGGCAGCTACAGTGGCAACGACTTCTCCTTCACTATCAACGGTGTCCACGCCGAGGACGAAGGGGAATACTACTGTGGCCAATACAACAGCTTTCCTCTCCACAGTGATACACTTCAGTACAAAAACCAGCTCAGTGGCCTAAGACAGCAGGAAGGAATGGCAGTGGGTGTGTTGCAGCAGCACATAACCCTTGCAGTTTGCTGAATGAGAGGGGGCTGGAATGGAGTATGAGAAAGGGGGTGAGGATCAATGGCTCTGCAGATCAACCAATAGGAAGACAGCCTGGGCCTGACTGTTCCAGGTGATCACACCTTTTCCTCAGACTCCTCCTCCTCCTATTATTATTATTATTATTATTATTATTAACTGAATTTATATATGTCCATATGACATTTATATGACATATAATTTTTATATGTCAGACCATGTCTGAGCCACAAGAAGATGGCCCATGTTTTTTTATTCTGATTTTGTCATAAAATTATTTGGGAAGGGGAAAAGAAGCAAGCAAAGACATTTTAAAGAGGGGGGGGGGAGAGAACTTGGTAAATCACCACAAGACCAGTGCTTTTTTTTCTAAAATAATGTTTAGGGGTACTCTCATTTTCCTTCTCATATTGAAATACTGCCCTTCAATCTTCATTCACAAAATGTTTAGGGGTATGCGTCTCCCTGTGTCCCCCCAGAAAAAAGCACTGCGTGACAAGACTGACCCAGGACAGATTATATTGTTTTCCAACTAATTTATGAAAACTGAGGAAACAAAGGATTATCAACCATAAACAAGTATACCTGAGTTGATATTGGCCTATCATATTCCCAGCATGCATTGTTGTTTTGTACTCAGTATTGGAGCTTCCTGTAATTTCTGTTCAGTCTTACCTCAGACCTTTTCCTTCATGTCGAGTTTTTAGATCACAATATGCATGATGCCATGATTCTAAATTGTAAATATACATTCAGGGCATACTTGAGGCACTCTCACATCCAGATTATTTCCTGAACTCCCTCAGTATTTCAAATATTTACATCTCATCCTCGTCGCTTTTCTGTTCATGGACTTTGCAAAGGAGAGTCCAGGGGTGACTATCTTATACTCATGTCATTGGCATGAAGAATAATTTCCATCCTCTTGCGTGGCAACATGGGATGACACTTGGCTTTAATTCTGCGCATGTCACATAACCAGGATATTTAGGTTCTAGGCATATAGCTGCAAGTATTATTACTCCATATTCAAAAAATGATTTTTCATGTGTTTTCTCCTCATGCTGCCTACCAATGTGCTAGAAACCTGAATTGGCAGGACTTTAGAGATTGCCAGCTGACGCCTCAACCGTGTCTCATAGAAATCCCCTGTGGCCACCTGCTCAGATCGCAGCGTTTTCGTTGCCACTTTGGCAGGTGACAAAGCAGCTGTCAGTTTCTGAACTGATATCCAATCCTCGTCGCACATCATCACGGCTGCATGTTGCCATGTCTTGACAAGATGGCTTTCTTCCATTTCAACACTCTCCACCTTTCCTCCAAAGAGTTCAGGCTAGCACACATAATTCTCACTCTCTCCGTTGTATCTTCACAACAACCTTGTGAGGTCGGCCACTTTAGCTGAGTGGGATTTGAAGTCCAGTCCCCCAGCTCCTAGGCTGATATTGTAACTGCTACAGTGCACTGTCTCTCCGGACATCAGTTCAGGAACTGACAGCTGCTCTGCCAATCAGCCAAAGTGTCAACTGAAACACTGGACTCTGAATATGTTGTGGGCGAAGACCTACTTACTACAGATACATTCACAGTACACCCAACACCAACAATGGGAAGCTGTCTGAGCAATGCAAGCTAGGACAGTTATTACGCAGAAAAGAGCAGTGATGTTCTCTCACCTATTATGCCACCAAAAGGTCTTTGACAGAACCTTATTTCAAAATTTGTATTCTCAGCATGCTTCCTTATTGCCTTGGCTGAGGGTTCCTATGGGCTTTTTGGCCATGACAATGCCTGCTATACCTTCCAACATTTCTCCGATCAAAATAGGGACATCCTATTCCATAGTAGTAGTCGTTGTCGTTGTTGGAATATTTATATCCCCGCCATCTGACTGTGTTGCCACAGTCACCCTGGGTGACTTCCAAAAGTGGAACCTCGGTTTTCGAACGACTTGGCTGCTGAACGTCTTGGAAGCTGAATGCCGAAAACCCGGAAGTGAATGCTTCTGTTTTCAAACACGCCTCAGAAGTCAAACAGCTTCCGAGGCACATTTCTCTATTTTTTCAATTGAATTCTCCGACCGCCCATTGAGCGTCGGTTGTTGAACGTTTTGGAAGTCGAACTGTCTTCTGGAACGGATTATGTTCGACAACCGAGGTTCCACTGTGTATAAAAACATAATAAGACATTAAAAATTTAAAACCTTTCCTATACAGTGGTACCTCAGGTTAAGTACTTAATTCATTCCGGAAGTCCGTACTTAACCTGAAACTGTTCTTAATCTGAAGCACCACTTTAGCAAATGGGGCTTCCTGCTGCCGCCGCACCGCCAGAGCACAATTTCTGTTTTCATCCTGAAGCAAAGTTCTTAACCTGAAGCACTATTTCTGGGTTAGTGGAGTGTGTAACCTGAAGCGTATGTAACCTGAGGTACCACTGTACAGGGCTGCCTTCAGGTGTCTTCTAAAGCTTATATAGTTACTTATGTCCTTGACTCTGGGGATCACATAACTGCCAAAATTCCTCTGATGGAAACAGGGACATCCTAAGGAAAAGTGGGACATGCCAGCATCAAATCAGAAACTGGGATGGTTTCTGGAAATCCAGGACTGTCCCTGGAAAGCAAGGGATCCTTGGAAGGTCTGTGTTCCCTCACCTTTCTGGTTCCCCAGGCCTGTTCTAGACTTCACAATGGTTCATATTTGCAGAGCACTTATGAGAAAGCTAATCTCTTGGCATGCACATAGAACAAAGTTGTGCATATTTACAATGCATGCACTTAATGGACGGCAAAATGGGGAAACATGAAAGAATAAGAGAGGCAACAGAGACTAAGCGGGTTTTTGGCATGATCGATCCTACATATGAGTGCAAGTATGCTATAGACAGTGCTAGACAATTCTTAGACCAAAAATTATCCATTAATGAAGATGATTGTATCTGAGGAGGTGAGAACTTCTCTTTGTTTCATTAAGTTTGCTTGAAATCTCCCTTGCTTTTCTTCTGCTTCATGCGTTGCAACATCCACCACAGACATTTATTCTGCCCTGAAGCACGATCCCACAGGGAGGGACATTCTTCTACTCATTTGCATAGATTTCCATCCTTGACACTTCATAACTGCCCCAGTTTTATCCCTGTCGTTCTGGAGGGGTTGTCTGGCGGTGAGAATATCCCAGAGGGAAAGGGAAAGGTTTCATGAACAGCAGCATCATGTTTCAGATTTGTTTGATTTGGCTGGTCTCAAGTTTCTTTGAGGGTAGGTTTTAAGGCAGGGGTAGGCAACCTAAAGCCCTTGGGCTGGATGTGGCCCAATCGACTTCTCAATCCGGCCTGCGGACGGTCAAGGAATCAGCGTGTTTTTACATGAGTAGAATGTGTGCTTTTATTTAAAATGCATCTCTGGGTTATTTGTGGGGCCTGCCTGGTGTTTTGACATGAGTAGAAGGTGTGCTTTTATTTAAAATGCATCTCTGGGTTATTTGTGGGGCATAGGAATTCGTTCATTTCCCCCCCCCCCAAAAAAATATAGTCTGGTCCACCACATGGTCTGAGGGACGGTGGACCAGCCCACGGCTGAAAAAGGTTGCTGCCCCCTGTTTTAAGGGAAGTGTTGTTCTTCCTGAGTTTCTCTGGGAAATGGGCTGCCTTCACCATCTTCTTTTCTCTCCTCCTAGAATCCAGGGGGCAGATTGTCATCACTCAGACACCAGCTTCCCTACAGGCAAGTCCTGGGGACAGAGTCACCATCCTGTGCAGGGCTTCCTCTTCTGTCAACAGCAATATGGACTTCTATCAGTTTAAACCAGGGCAGAAACCCAAAGTGCTGATTTATTCAGGTTCAAGCCGTTTTGGAGAGACTCCGGATCGTTTCAGTGGCAGCCACAGCAACACTGACTTCTCCTTCACAATCAACGGTGTACATGCTGAGGACGAGGCAGAATACCACTGTTTCCAGCGCCAGAAGTTCCCACTCCACAGTGATACACTTCAGTACAAAAACCAGCTCGGTGGCCTAAGACGGCAGGAAGGAATGTCGGTGGGTGTTCTGCAATCAGCAGCATTCATTGGCTGAGCATCTTTTTTGAAGTCAGTAGGTGTGGCGATCACACAGGGTCCCCGGACGTTTGATGGTCTATTGATCCCTGTGCCACCATTGTGCTCGCTTCCCCGCTGCCACCAACCTGTTACTCTTGGGTACAACACTGAGTCCAGACAGTTGTTAAAAGTGAACAAAAAAACCAAGTTTATTTTACAAACATTAACAGGTTTATGGTTTCTCAGACAATATTCCTGTCAGTATCTTAACTTTAGTTTCTTTACCGGCCTATACCTTCCCAATACCTTCTGACTGATTATCTCAATGGTTTGACTGACTCCTCTTAACAAATTCCCTTACTCTCTCACAGCAAACTAGTCCAACCCACAGACTTATCTTCTCTGTCTCTTCTAACTCCAGACTGTCTTCTCAACAACTCTAGTAAAGGGACCCCTGACCGTTAGGTCCAGTCGTGACCGACTCTGGGGTTGCGGCGCTCATCTCGCTTTATTGGCCGAGGGAGCCGGCGTACAGCTTCCAGGTCATGTGGCCAGCATGACTAAGCCGCTTCTGGTGAACCAGAGCAGTGCACGGAAATGCTGTTTGCCTTCCCGCCTGAGTGGTACCTATTTATCTACTTGCACTTTGACGTGCTTTCAAACTGCTAGGTTGGCAGGAGCAGGGACCGAGCAACGGGAGCTCACCCTGTCATGGGGATTCGAACCGCCAATCTTCTGATCGGAAGTTCAAGAGGCTCAACAACTCTAACTCCCTAAAAACCTCTGTGCTTAAAACTTATACGCAGTTAACTCTGCCCCCTGGGTTCCCATTGGTTAGTCATTTTACAATTAGTTAACCCTTTCCCTATGAACCCAGTATGATGTCATACACATAGGAGGGCAAACGCCACAGAAGGTTCCAGGTTAAATCCCTGATATTTCCAGCTACAGCACAAGGATGTGATCCCTGATCTAAAATCCTGGAGAGTCCTCTCAGACTTGGAGTACATGGACGGGGTGTGTGTGTGTGTTAAAAACCTCACCTGCCGGATCCAGTTCCTTACTCCTAACCTAGTTTGAAGAACATTTTTGGAGGACTCAAAAGCTTGCTTGCATGTTATGTGTTGACATTTGGGGTTGCCTATTTGCCCCGATTCATATTCAGAAAGCTATTTTTCATCTACTGTGTATATTGTTATGCTGCCTGCTAACATGATTTTTTAAAAAAAACTGTACTGGTGGTACTTCTGAGCTTTCCAGCTGACATTTCAAGCATGTCCCACAGAAATCCCCTGTGGCCAGTTGTTCAGATTTCAGCGTGTTCGCTGCCACTTTGACAGGTGGCAAAGCAGGCGTCAGTTTCTGAACTGATTCCCAGTCATTGCCACGGGGCACGAGGGGGCATACATTAGATTTGGTTCATATTTGAAGGTGAACCTACCAGATTAGCACTTTCCCAAACGACATGAGAACCGAAACACAAGTATGCTTAAGAATCTGCACTTACCTGAATTTTCCATAAATTTCTCCCACCAAACCACATATACCAAAAAAGTATATATTGGGGGAAAGTAAGCACCAAATCAACATACTAGTGAGAATAACATACAAAAGCACATTCTGCTTAGGGGAAATTGCCAGGAAAACGATGTACATTAGTCAAAACTCTTTAACGGCTTTACCACACTGGCTCTGAGAATATTAGTTCAGAAACTGACATCTGCTCTGCCAATCTCAACTCAATGCCACAAACTGAATTGTATTTGGAAGAGAAGGCCCAGTTGCACTCAGAGTATACAGTCGTACCCTGGTTGCTGAACGCCTTGGAACTTGTACGTTTTGGCTCCCGAATGATCAAAAACCGAAAGTGAGTGTTCCGGTATCCAAACGATTTTTGGAAGCTGAACATCCGGCACAGCTTCCGATTGGCTGCAGGAGCTCACTGCAGCCAATCAGAGGATGTGCTTTGGTTTCCAAATATTTTGGAAGACAATCTGACTTCCAGAACGGATTCCGTTCGACTTCCAAGGTATGACTGTACTAGAAGACTGTATTGACTGCACTTTAGAGATTGCTGGTTGACACCTCAACCACGTCCCATAGAAATCCCCTGTGGCCGGCTGCTCAGACTGCAGCTTTTCATTGATACTTGGGCAGGTGCCAGAGCAGCTGTCAGTTTCTGAGGTGATATCCAGTCCTTGTCACAGGTTACCATAGCTACCTGTTGCCATGTCTTGACAACACTCGCGTACTTCCAACAGTCGATCCAACCTACCATAGCTTCAGTGCCATCTTGAAGAGCTATCCAAGATGGATTTATTCTATTCTAACACCCACACACCACGTTTCCTCCAAAGAGATGAGGCTAGCATGCTTAATTCTCCATCTCCCATTATATCTTCACAACAATCTTGCGAGGTTGGCCAGGGTGAGAGAGTGTGATTAGCCCAAGCTCACCCAGTCCACTCCTTAGTTGAGTGGGATTTGAACCCTGCTCCCCCAACACCCTCGGCTGATACTGTCACTGCTTCAGGCACAAAACTGGAGCTGGCCTGAAAATATATCAAGGCAATATATTATTTCTGGAAAGATGAATTGTTTTGTAATTCAGCAGGTCAGATCTCACTGTCTTGTATTTCAGAAAGTGAGGTCTTCTCATTTACTGCCGTCTGTGGGTCTGCAATGGGGCAGTGTGCCTTTGGGGGTGAAGTCAAACTGTTGGAAGGTTGCAGTGCCTCGTGGTTCCCCCTGGTTCATGAGCTGGAACCTCGACCACAGACGTTTCTTGTGCCCTGAAGCACAATCCCCACAGGAGGGGACTCTCATCCCTTGAACCCCTTCAAGTCATTTGCATAGATTTCCATCTCTGACACTTAATAACTCCCCCAATTTTATTCCCATCATTCTGAAGCTGGGCTGCTTGGTGGTGATAATATCTGGGAGCCAAGAAAGAGTGTCATCCACAGCAGCAGCAACATGTTACGGATTTGTTTGATTTGGCTGGTCTCCAGTTTCTTTGCGGGTAACTTTGAAGAGCTGCGTTCTTCTCTCTGAATTTTTAAGGCAAATGTTGCAAATCCACTAACTTGTTTTATGCCTCTCATTCCAGAATCCAGTGGGCAGATTGTCATCACTCAGACACCGCCTTCTTTACAGGCAAGTCCTGGGGACAGAGTGACAATCCAGTGCAAAGCTGCCTCTTCTGTCAGTATCTATATGGCCTTATATCAGTTTAAATCAGGACAGAAGCCCAAGCTACTGATTTATGAGGGTTCAACCCGTTTTGAAGGGACCCCTGATCGCTTCAGTGGCAGCCGAAGCGGCAACGACTTCTCCTTCACTATCAACGGTGTCCACGCCGAGGACGAAGGGGTTTATTACTGTGGCCAAAGCTACAGCTTTCCTCTACACAGTGATACACTTCAGTACAAAAACCAGCTCAGTGGCCTAAGACAGAAGGAAGGAAGGAATGACTGTGGGTGTCTTGCAGCAACAGCAGCATTCTGCGGTAGAACATCTTTTTCCAGGTCAGATTGTTCCAGGTTACATCCCTGGCACTATCAGCAACAGCAAAAGCGAGGAACCCCTGGCAAATACCCTTTTGAGCCCTGTCAGACTTGGATTACATTGACAGAGAGTGATATGGATGAATCCAGTACCTCTCTCCTAACCTAAATCCGACGAAGAGTTCTGGAGTACTCAAAAGCTTCCATGTTATGTGTTGCATGTCATGTGTTGATATTCGGGGTTGCATAATTGCCCCAATTCATATTGGGCATCAGTTTCTGAACTGAGACTCAGTTTTTGTCACAGGTTAGGATGGGGGATAAATTAGATTCAGTTCATATTTAAAGGCGAATTTACCAGATTTGCATTTTCCTGAACTATGTGAAAACAGTGACACAACCAGAAATTCACACAGAATTTCCCCCATGAATTTCTCCCACCAAAACAAAGCATATATTAGGGGAAAGTGAGAATAAAATTAACATAAAAGTGAAAACAACATGCAAAAATGCATTTTGTTCAGGAAAAATTGCTAGCAAAAGTGTGTACATTAGTCAAAACTGTATGCAAAAATATATTAATTAATCTTCTCAGAAGAAGAAGAAGAAGAATAGTAGTGGTTTGGACTTGATATCCTGCTTTATCACTACCCGAAGGATTCTCAAAGCGGCTAACATTCTCCTTTCCCTTCTTCCCCGACAAGAAACACTCTATGAGGTGAGTGGGGCTAAGAGACTTCAGAGAAGTGTGACAAGCCCAAGGTCACCCAGCAGCTGCATGTGGAGGAGCGGGGAGGCGGACCCAGTTCACCAGATTAAGAGACTACCGCTCTTAACCACTACACCACACACAAACATCTGCACTTGTCTTGCTTGTAAATGGGTCTTGACTCAAGGAAAGGAAGGGTGTTTGGTTGGGTTGGGTTTTTGTTTTTGTTGTTGTTTGCATGGATCAAGGCCTCAGGACTGTGAAAAGACCCAGCCCCTCTGAAATACCAGGACAGGACAATAATGCAAGTGAAGACCACCAGGCACCCTTTCCTAGAAGTGTGAGGTTTGAAGAAGCAGAAGTAATAAAGTGTTTCGCAATGCAAATAATATGCTGCCCTCATTTGCTTTGCTCCACCCATATTCCATTCCTATCAGCTCTGGGCAGTGATAATAAATCCTTGGGTGCCATTCTGGGGCTTCATTGGCAAGGACCTTGAAGGCTAGGCAGTGAACACCATGCGGGTTTCAATGCTTTTCCCCATAAGTCTCTTTTTCTGGATCCAAGGTAAGAGGAACAGTTAAAATGGATTTGATTATTTTTAATGCATCTGGTATTTGATATTTGTCAAAGATTTCTTGTTGGCCTTGATTTCTCTGAAAGACTATTCCAGTGCTAACTGTTATCATGTGGGAGTCATATCGATTTTTCTCCCTATATCTAGATGCCAGAGGGACGTTGTGGTGCTGACTCAGTCTCCAGAATCACTCTCCTTATCCATTGGAGATACGGTTACAATTAAATGCCAGACCGTTCTCAACATCGATGATGATATCAACTGGTACCAGCAGAAACCAGGACAACCTCCGAAACTCCTCATCTCCGAAGAGCATAAACGCCAAAGTGGGGTTCCGGATCGGTTTAGCAGCAGTGGCTACGATACAGATTTCACCTTCACCATTAGTAACTTTGAAGCTGATGATGCTGGAGATTATTACTGCCAGCAAAGCGACCGCGTTCCTCTGCACAGTGATTCAAAGCAATACATAAACCCTTCCTCAGAAGCTTGCATCTGATATATCGGCCACTTGTTAAGCAGGGGACAGGCAGGCTCTTCTTAGCTCTGTCGCGTGCGAATGAACCACAAAACTCTCTGAACAGTAACTTCTCCGGATGTCCTGGCAACTGCCAATGAGGCATGAATCCCTTGAACAGCCCCTCCCCCCCCCCCCCGTTCTACCTTAAAACATTTCACAGGGCACTTGTGAACTTTTGAGAAGAGCACTGTTATCACACCAAGAATCGCTGCCTGAGAACATGCACACATGAAGCAATGTACCCAGGTTAATACATTGGCAGGGTTTTAAGATTACTGGTAATTTTATTATGATTCAAATGGTTAAAACTTTACAATGGACATGTAGTACATTGATACACAATGGAACCAAAGAAGTCAATCTGTTTAGTCTTGTTTTTTGTTTTTATTGCTGTTTGTTTTATTCTTATTATTGTTGGGAAATTAATAAAATGTTATGAAAGAAAGAGAGAGAGAGAGAGCATGCACACATGAGCATATGCATTTTTATTTTCATTTTTAAAAAGTTAATTGTCCAGCTCAATTTCAAGCATGTGTTGCATTCACCCCAATCTCTGAGCAGGGAGAGACTCCAGGAGTGTCAGGGCTAACTTCCGGGTTTGGTTTCCTTGGAAGGAAGCTCAAAGAGGAATGCTGTGCCGTTATGACATTGATACATACCATCTCAATATCCATGAGAGGTGCGAGATGCCAGGGATCTCAGGCGTGCGTTACCCAGGACGTGTGTTATCTTTTGAACACATGAGGCACAGCAGAGACTGTGGTGTCTTTATCATATATGGTTTATTTACACCTGAGCCTTGAAGGAAGAGAATCCCAGCATTAGATGCCAAGAAGGTCATTTGCTCTCTCATAAGCACAGCAGGCTTGGGTCTGCAAGCAGAGAAATGACCGCTCCCCATATTAAACGGGGGGCGCCCTTTGCGTGGACGCGCGCAGCCCCTGGACCCGGTGCGGCTCCATCAGCACAGGCTTGGCTTCACCTTCCCCCAGGTGGGATACCTGGAGGTCTCCGCCTACCTCAGTCAGTTGTCCAATCCCGCCTGGGGGAAGCGTTGCCAGGGAGACCAGGCCAGGTAGGGGAGGAATTACCTGCCCACACAATAGAGGGAGGATCTTACCTGGGAATCCTCACTTGGCTCCAGAGCGTCTCCCACCCTACCCACCCTCAGTTAAGTCTTATTTTGCAGGTTAACCTTTTCTTCACAGGTATGTGGGCGCTGCTACGTCAAGGTCGCTGTTGAAGGGCCGGAAAGGAATTCCCCTGCATTGGCAGGTTTTGCCTTTCCCGTAGCAAAACGTCACAACTTTGGCGGTATCAGGCCTTGGGCGGAATCCTTTAGGCTATCATCCTGAATGGGGGGAGGGGGCGTGCAGCGGTGACCCACGGCCCCTTCCTCTTTGCAGTGGCGATACAGTGGTGCCCCGCAAGACGAATGCCTCGCAAGACGGAAAACCCGCTAGACGAAAGGGTTTTCCGTTTTGGAGGGGCTTCGCAAAACGAATTTCCTATGTGCTTGCTTCGCAAGACGAAAATGTCTTGCGAGTTCCTGCGGGGTTTCCCCCCCCCCCCTTTTCCCAAGCCGCTAAACCGCTTATCAGCTGATGGCTAAGCCGCTTATCAGCTGATCTTTAAGCCGCTTAACAGCTGATGCTAAGCCGCTTATCAGCTGATCTTTAAGCCGCTTAACAGCTGCCGCTAAGCCGCTTATCAGCTGATCTTTAAGCCGCTTATCAGCTGATCGTTAAGCCGCTTATCAGCTGATCTTTAAGCCAGCTAAGCTGCTAATAGTGTAGCGCTAAGCCGCTAAACCTCTAATGGGCTTGCTTCGCAAGACGAAAAAACCCGCAAGACGAAGAGACTCGCGGAACGGATTCTTTTCGTCTTGCGAGGCACCACTGTACCAGGGTTCCCCGTTAAAGGGGTTTCTGAGGGGAGGCTTTGACTGTACGCCGAGAGGTCGTCATTGCTCTCCCCTGCGACGGCTATCTCTGCTTGAACATATGTTCTCCAGAGCTGGCCTATCCCGCCCCCACACTGGATAACCCTGATGTTCCCTAGATCCCCGGGGAGGGATAACGCCCAGTGCCTGAGTCAAGGTCTACCCACATCTGAAATATAATAACATTGTGGCCAATTTAATCCCATAGCACGTTGTCTTGAGTCGTTATTCCACATGGGGGGGGGGGGTGCCCAGGGTTTGGGGGTCTCCGCCTGCCCACGCAATGGGCCATGGTCTCTGTGTCTTTGTCCCAGCCAGCCCAAATAGTGTTTTCTTCCTCCACCTTCTCCTTGCTAACACTAATAACTAACTCTTCCCAGCCTACGTCGTCCAAAACTGAAATCCCAAACCCTTCTTGGCCCTGCCCACTAACACACAGCTGGAGGAGGAGGCAGGTGATCGAGGTTGAAAATGACATTTCAAAGGAGGAAAAATGTACGTCGTCATGGAAGGAGTAGTGATCAATTTTATGATTGTCAGATTAATGAAGTTTGCCAATGATTTCTGAATTGTTTTATCATTGTTATTGGCATATGAAATAAACAACACCTTATGGCAAAGAAAGTGCCCAGTTTTTCCTTTCCTTTTAGGGCAGTGATAAGATATATAAGATGCTGTTATATTCTGAAACACACCCTGTGGATCATTTAAAATAATTGTGGGAGCATGAAGATGGAGATCGAAGACTCTTCCTCATCATCTGTGTGGGACAAACCACCATTTTGTTCTCTCCCAGCAAGAAACAAGGGACTTAAAATTGATTCGTAAATGATTCAGATTTGGATCATAAATAAACTTGGATTGCCTTTTTATTTATAATTTAAAAGGTCAGAAAACAGGAAATTATTTATGCAGAAACAGGAGCTGAAAACAATCTCCATGTAATGTTTACTTTCTGGAATGACTGAACTATTTGTTAATTTGAGAGAGCAAATCTTTGCATTAATTGGCTCCTTGGGTTCCTTCTGCTCCATGAGAGCTGGAACGTCCACCACAGGTGGCGGTTCTGCCTTGAAACACAATCCTCGCAAGAAGTGACAGTCACCCCTTGCAACCCCACTATTCATTTGCATATATTTGCATCCCTGGCACTTGATAACTCTCCCAGTTTTACGCCTGTCATTCTGAAGCCGGGCTGCCTGGTGGCGATAATACCTGGGAGGCAACAGAAAGAGTTACATTAACAGCAGCATCATGTTACCGATTTGTTTGATTTGGCTCATCTTGAGTTTCTTTGAGGGTAAGTCATAAGAGGTGTGTGGTTCTGTCTGAGTTTCTCAGGCCAATGTTGTGGATTTTGCAGTGCGCTTTTTGTTCCTCTCCTTCCAGGATCCAGGGGACAGATTGTCATCACTCAAATACCAGCTTCCATACAGGCAAGTCCTGGAGACAGAGTCACCATCCAGTGCCAAGCTTCCTCTTCCATGGGTGATGATATGGCCTTATATCAGTTTAAACCAGGACAGAAACCCAAGCTTCTTATTTATGATGCTACGAGCCGTTTTGAAGGGACCCCAGATCGCTTCAGTGGTACCTACAGTAACACTGACTTCTCGTTCACCATCAGCAGCGTCCATGTCGAGGATGAAGCAGACTATTTCTGTGGCCAAGACTACAGCACTCCTCTCCACAGTGATACACTTCAGTACAAAAACCAGCTCGGCAGCCTAAGACAGAAGGAAGAAATGGAAGTTTGTGTCTTGCATCAGCACCCACCTTTCAGCTTGCAGAATGGGAGCAGGTGGGATGGAGATGGGAACTGGGCTGAGGGTCATGGGCATCTGTAGGTCAACCAACAGAAGGGCAGCTTGGACATGACCTTCTCTGAGGCAAGCCAGAGCCACCACTGTGAGGGAACAGGAGAAAGAAAACTGGACACCAACGTCTGTGGAGCAGCTCAATCCGAGATGGCTCCTGACCTGAAGACTCTCCTTCCCCAAAGTTTTTAGGTCGCTGTTTCCTCCTGGCATTCTGGGCCACATCGTGTACAGAAATAGACCAATCCCATACGACTGAGCTGAAAGAGGTCATGGCTTCAAGTTCTCTTCAGACTTCAGAAATGCTTCCAAATCATCATTGCCCCTTTTCTGAGCATGGACAGATTGAAGTCCACTGATGAGATTCTACTCATTGGCATGGGATGAAGTCCCCATCCTCTCCCATAGCTGACGTGCGATGATGCTTAGCTTTAGTCCTGTCTGTGTGAAACAGCAGGATGTTTATTTAGGTTCTTTGTATATTGTTGCAAGTATCACTTCACTTTCAAAAAAAACTATTACACACACACACACACATACACACACACACTTCCTACTAACTGGCTGGAAACCCAGATTGCTGGTACTTTTGAGATTTGCAGTTGACTCTTCAAGCACATGTCAAAGGAATCCCCAGTGACAAACGGTTCAGATTGCTGCATTTTCGTGCCGCCTTTGCGGGTGGCAAAGCAGCTGTCAGGTTTTGGACTGCTGCCCAGCCATTGTCACAGGTTGGGTTGGGGAAGAGTTTAGGTTCAGTTCACGCTGAAGTTGATTCTGTGTTGCAGTTCTCCAGCCCAAAAATGTATACCAGGGGTCAGCAAACTTTTTCAGCAGGGGGCCAGTCCACTGTCCCTCAGACCTTGTGGGCGGCCGGATTACATTTTTGGGGGGGAAATGAACAAATTCCTATGCCCCACAATAACCCAGAGATGTGTTTTAAATAAAAGGACACATTCTACTCATGTAAGAACACGTTGATTCCCGGGCCGTCCACGGGCCGGATTTAGAAGGTGATTGGGCCACATTTGGCCGTGGCCTTAGTTTGCCTACCCATGATGTATACAAAGGTGCATGTATTATGAGAAAGTGTGAATAAAATGTGTGGATGACGTACATTGCATTACATTATTCAAAGCTGTACAGTGGTATCTTGAGTTACAAACATCTTGGGTTACAAACACTTTGGGTTACAAACTTCGCTAATCTGGAAGTAGTACCTCGGGTTAAGAATTCTACCTCAGGATGAGAACAGAAATCATGTGCCAGTGGCACAGCAGCAGTGGGAGGCCCCATTAGCTAAAGTGGTAAAGGTAAAGGTACCCCTGCCCGTACGGGCCAGTCTTGCCAGACTCTAGGGTTGTGCGCTCATCTCACTCTAGAGGCCGGGAGCCAGCGCTGTCCGCAGACACTTCCGGGTCACGTGGCCAGCGTGACAAGCTGCATCTGGCGAGCCAGCGCAGCACACGGGACGCCGGTTACCGTCCCGCTGGGGAGCGGGCCCTCTTTATCTACTTGCACCCGGGGGTGCTTTCGAACTGCTAGGTTGGCAGGCGCTGGGACCGAGCGACGGGAGCGCACCCCGCAGCGGGGATTCGAACCGCCGATTGGCAAGTCCTAGGCGCTGACGTTTTACCCACAGCGCCACCCGCGTCCCAGCTAAAGTGGTACTTCAGGCTAAAAATGGTTTCAGGTTAAGAACGGACCTCCAGAACAAATTAAGTATGTAACCAGAGGTACCACTGTATTCTAAAATGAATTTATAATGAGAAATTAGCACAAAAGTCTAGTGAATTATCATGAGGATTAAAAAAAGAAAAAAAAAAGCTTAACCAATTGGAGAAGAAGTTTGGCAAACTGAATTCAAGATGGAAAAATAGGGAAACAGAGAAAAGCAAAAGCAGTAGAACCATCATTCCCTAACCACAAGTCACCATGGCTTCATACTGCCACATTTGGACAAAATTCCTACAGTCCCATAAGGTCATAAATTAAGTGCCATTTTGTAGGCCTATCAAAGATGGTTTCTTCTTCTTCTTTTTAAAAAAAATATTTTTATTGGTTTTTATCATACAAAATTATAAAACATACCACACAGTTTATCACAAATACAATCTTATTGGACTTCCATCAGCACCTCTGATAATCCTCCGTCTTAATCACTTCTTATGCATTTCCTAACTTAATATTGCCTTTACATCTCTTAACATATCATCTCTCCTTCTCCATTTTTACAATATTTCTAATCTTATTCCTCACAGAACTTCTTGTAAACCTACAAATGTCGTCTGGTTGTCACAAATACTTTTCAAAGAATCCGTAAATTTAGTCCAGTCTTCGGTAAATTTCTGGTCCCACCGGTTTCGGATCCTTCCTGTTAGTTTATCAAGTTCCACATAGTCCATTAATTTCATCCTCCATTCTTCCATCGTTGGTAATTCTTCTTGCCAAAGATGGTGTCAAGGCTGCCTCAAGTCTTAGCTCACAAAAGACCAACGCCTACGTCTTCTTGAATACAAAGGTGTTTATTGCAGTTCATGCTTTGCTTGACATCTTAGGCGCGCAGCCTTACGTCTCTTACGCTAGACCGCCGAAGTCCCGTCTGAGTCAGTCCCTCCTCTGCACCAATTTAAGAGACTTGCGCTGCTCCACCTCTTTCTCTCCTTCCTTTTCCGCAGGGTCTTTCTGCCCCCTGGGGTTGCGCCCCTTCTGGATTCCTCTGACGCTGAATCCCCAGACTGCTCTTCCCCCCTCCTGCGGGCTTTGGGACCTGGCCCCTCCTCCGGGCTCCCTGCACTTCCGCGCGCCTCTACATTTGAACTAGGCGCGCGCGCCAAGCCTCTAACTTTCCTTTTGACAGTTACACTACTCCCTTCACTGCTCCCTCCCCTTCCGGGAGGGCCTCTGACCCCCTCCTTTCTCTGCTGCTGGAGCTGCTTCCTCTGACACACTGGAAACTCCACCCCCTTCGCTGCACTTTGGTGGGGAGGCTGGTCCTGACGCCCAGCTGCCACTTTGGGATCCTCCGCTGGCACCCTGCTCCTGACACTTCCCCCCTGGGGTTCCCCTGGCTCTGACCACCGGCGCCCCCTTCTGGGAATCCTCTGATTCGCTGGAAAGACTCATGGAATCCCTTGAGTCATTGTCGTCCTCTTCCTCGCTGGCTTGGAATTCCTCCCCCTCGCTCTCCATCTCCTGCCTACCCTGTGCCTCTCTCTCTGAACCCCTGACAGATGGTTTCTTCAGTTCTCTCTCTCTCTCTCTCTCTCTCTCTCTCTCTCTCTCTCACACACACACACACACACACAAATACACACACACAAATACACACACACACACACACACACACACACACTGCTCTCTCCATTCTCCATGCCTATTCCTCTGCACTTCTTCCATACCTGACCAAACGCCTCTCTCTTGTGAGAGCCATGTGGCTGAGCTGGAGCAACCAACTCAAACCTCCTCCCACACTGAGTTTCTCAGGTAGATTGGTGCAGCTGGAACAACTCGGGGCAGTTTAGGCCTTGGGTAGGCCTAGTTTTGGAGGGAGGGGAGGTTGTAGCCTCTGCCTGCCCCTCTGTAAAGTGGGATATCCCATTAAAGGGATCCAGGTGAGATGCCTCTGTCTGGACACCCAGACTCTCCAAGTACAACCCAGAAGGTTAACGACTCTTTGATGTAGGTAAATAACTCCCTCTCTTCCGGTTGACCCCATATTAGGTACTTCTGTTGGGGGGACCAGTAGGGGTGAGGTCTACCTAATGCCTGTGCCAAACCTCTTACATCTGTAGTCAATAAAGTTGTGGCCTGATTTGACCCAAAATAGAACTTGTCGTGCTTCGTTATTTGTGGTTTAAGACAGTCCGCCGGGTGGGGGACGCCTGGGCGCGCAATGAGGAAATCATCAAATGCCTATAACTTTTTTATGCTTTGGAAAAATCGATTAAAAATCTTAAACACAGTAAAACCTTCTAAGAGAACGACTCTTTACATGAATTGACTCCCAGGAGTTTCTCCTGATTTGTGAGCTGGAACCATGAACTGAATATGGCATCGTTTCTGTTGCCATTTTGGCGGGTGGCAAAGCAGTTGCCAGTTTCTGAACTGACACTCAGCCGTTGCCACAGGTCTGCGTGGCATGATATCGCCAGCTCTTGACAAAACTCCTATAGTTTAATGTTATATCAGCCCAAGACGTTTTGGCACGTGAGGCGAACCACAAAGTGGTGCCCCCTCTGCTTGCTCTAGCTTTAGGGACATGCTACTGTTGCTGTGAACCAATGCATGATTCTAAAATAAGTAAATACCATTTTTAAACTTACTTTACAAGTTCTTGCCCGATCCTTTGTGAAGTGGGAGAAGAAAGGGAGAGCCAACTTACTTCATAGCTGGATTTGTTCAAAACAAGGTTTTGCAGCCTAATTCCTGTGCTTTTAATTTTGCACCGTGGATGGGATTTTGAAACTGTGGTCAACCCAAACACGGGGGCACCTGGAGGGGCAAATTGCAATTTTTGTATCCTCTTTTTCCCATTAAAACCCATCCCGCAGAAAGCCACTAAGGGGTTAATGTACCTGGGAGTATGGGGCTGGTTGGCTTTCCTGAGATCTGAGTTTGGTTTCTGTTTACTATCCTAACCAATATTTTCTCCAAAAGCGTTTCAGTATAAAGATATTATCTTTTATGTTGCAGAGTGCAATTTTTCTCTGTTCTGGTGTTCTTTTACCTTTGCTTCAGCGAACTCGGGGTTATCTCTTGATTTCTAATTCTGAGAGCCAGAAGATGGGATATTTTTCACCCGGAAAACTGGAGCACAAAATCTCTTCCTATTATTATCTTTCTTTTTGGAAAGATCAAACTACAGTGGTACCTCAGGTTACATACGCTTCAGGTTACAGACTCCACTAACCCAGAAAGAGTACCTCAGGTTAAGAACTTTGCTGCAGGATGAGAACAGAAATCGTGCTCCGGCGGCGCGGCGGCAGCAGGAGGCCCCATTAGCTAAAGTGGTGCTTCAGGTTAAGAACAGTTTCAGGTTAAGTACGCACCTCCGGAACGAATTAAGTACTTAACCTGAGGTACCACTGTATCTTACAATTCAGGATGGGAGAACTTCTCGTGAATTGCACATCTTCCTGAGCTTCCTTCTGCTTCGTGACCTGGAACTTCATCCACAAGCGTTTCTTCTGCCTTGAAGCACAACCATGAAGCAACACTTATCCCTTGCACCCCTTCTCTTCATTTGCATAGATTTCCATGCTGAACACTTAATAACTCCTCCACAGTTACCCCTTTCATTACCAAGCTGGACTGCCTGGTGGTGAAACCATCTGGGACACAGGAGAAAGAGTTTCATAAACAGCAGCATCATGTTACAGATTCCTTTGATTTGGCTCATCTTGTGTTTCTTGGACGGTAAGAGAGGTGTTGTTCTGTCCGAGTTTCTATCTATCTATCTATCTATCTATCTATCTATCTATCTATCTATTGATTTTGACATATAAATCATAAAATGTACCACAAAACTTATCACTTATACAATCTTTTTAGACTTCCATCAGCACCTCTGATGATCCACCATTTTAACCACTTCTTATGCACTTCTTAACTTTATATTGCCTTTACATCTCTTAACAAATCATCCTTCCCCTTCTCCATTTTTGCAATACTTCCAATAATACTCCTCACAAAACTTTTTGCAAACCTACAAACGTCGTCTGATCTTCACAAATACTTTTCAAGTAGTCCGTAAATTTACCCCAGTCTTCTGTGAATTTCTGGTCCCGCTGGTTTCGAATCCTTCCTGTTAGTTTATCTAGTTCTGCATAGTCCATTAACTTCATTCTCCATTCTTCAATCGTTGGTAATTCTTCTTGCTTCCATTTTTGGGCCAGTAATATTCTTGCTGCTGTTATTGTATATAAAAAGAGCTTACATTCCTTGTTCTGTCCGAGTTTCTCAGGCAAATGTTGTGGACTCACCCGTGTGCTTTATTCCTTTCCTTCCAGAATCCAGGGGGCAGATTGCCATCACTCAGACACCAGCTTCTATACAGGCAAGTCCTGGGGACAGAGTCACCATCCAGTGCAAAGCTTCCTCTTCTGTCACTAAATATACAGTCTTGTATCAGTTTAAATCAGGGCAGAAACCCAAGCTACTGATTTATGATGCTACAAACCGTTTTGAAGGGACCCCAGATCGCTTCAGTGGCAGCTACGGCACCACTGACTTTTCGTTCACCATCAATGGTGTCCACGTCGAGGATGAAGCAGAATATTACTGTGGACAACGCCAAAGCTTACCTTTACACAGTGATACACTTCAGTACAAAAACAAGCTCAGTAGTCTCAGATACCAAAAAGAGACAGCAGTCGGTGTTTTGCAGCAGCAACACTTAGTGGCAGAACATCTGCTTTGCAGTCAGAGGGTTGCAGATTAGATGCCTGGCATCTTCAGGTCCAAACCCTCCAACAATTCACCGATGAAAATAGGGACATCTTAAGGAAAAGCTTGGGCTCCGTGATCACTGCAGATGGTGACAGCAGTCACGAAATTAAAAGACACCTGCTTCTTGGAAGAAAAGCGATGACAAACCTAGACTGCATCTTAAAAAGCAGAGACATCACCTTGCCAACAAAGGTCTGTATAGTTAAAGCTATGGTTTTCCCAGTAGTGATGTATGGAAGTGAGAGCTGGACCATAAAGAAGGCTGATCGCCAAAGAATTGATGCTTTTGAATTCTGGTGCTGGAGGAGACTCTTGAGAGTCCCATGGACTGCAAGAAGATCAAACTGATCCATTCTGAAGGAAATCAGCCCTGAATGCTCACTGAAAGGACAGGTCCTGAAGCTGAGGATCCAATACTCTGGCCACCTCATGAGAAGAGAAGACTCCCTGGAAAAGACCCTGATGTTGGGAAAGATGGAGGGCACAAGGAGAAGGGGACGACAGAGGACGAGATGGTTGGACAGTGCTTTCAAAGCTACCAGCATGAGTTGGACCAAACTGTGGGAGGCAGTGGAAGACAGGAGTGCCTGGCGTGCTCTGGTCCAGGGGGTCACGAAGAGTCGGACACAACTAAATGACTAAACAACAACAAAGGAAAAGCGGGACATTCTGGGACCAAATCAAAAACCTGGATGGCGTCTTTAAATCAGGCACGCCCCTGGAAAATAGGGACACCTGGAGGGTCTGGTTGTGACATCTAGGGTTGCCTAAATTGCCCTAATGCAGATTTTGAAAACTAATTGAGCCTCTAAGACTCCTAAAAGGAGCTCAGGGAGGCATGGATGGAGGCATCAGATAAATGATGTGTTTAATGAGGACAAAAAAGAATAAGAGTTTTGAAAGAACAAGATCCAGGCTGGAGAAAGATTTATTGGGGGATAAAAGCAAAAATATTATCAAAAATGTATAAATTTCTGTTGGGAATGGCATACTAAAGATGAAGAGGTTAAAGTGGTAATGATAGAATGGGCTAAAGATTTGGGATATAATATCCCGTTAGAATCATGGGAAAGACTATGGAATGAAAGTATTAAATTCACCACATGTAGTGCCTTAAAAGAAAATGTTATGAAAATGATGTACAGATGGTATTTAACACCAACCAAACTTGCACAAATGTATAGGTCAAGAGCTAAGGAGTGTTGGAAATGTAAAGAAAAGGAAGGGAATTTTTTCATATGTGGTGGACATGTACAAAGGTAAAAACCATTTGGGAAATGATATATAATGTGTTAAAGAAAATATTTAAAAATACTTTTGTCAAAAAACCAGAAACATTCTTTCTGGGTATTGTTGGTGAAGAGATATCAGTTAGAGATAAGAAACTGTTTATGTATGCAACAACTGCAGCAAGAACTCTTTTAGCCCCAAAATGGAAGGAACAAGAAATTCCAACGAAAGAAGAGTGGCAGATGAAGATGATGGACTTTGCGAGATTGGCAAAGCTGACTGGGAAAATATGAAACCAATGAGATCAAGCATTCCAAAAAGATGGGAGTAAATTTATACAATACTTGAAGGATCATTGTAAACATTTAAAAACACTGGCAGGGTTGTAAGAAGATTTGTAATGTTAACTATACTTAGCTTTCTATATTTATTTAAAATTTTGACGTATCAAATGAGAGAATGTAAATTGGAAAATGCACAAATGCTATGATATAGAGGTTAACTTTGAAAACCATGAGGCGGGAGGGAGGGGAATCAATAGGCTCTTCAGAGCGGTGAATAATGATGATGTGATTAAATGTTATAAAATGGAAAATGAATAAAAATATTATTTTTAAAAAGGGAGGCATAGATGGATCATTCCTTCCATTGCTTATTTCTCTAAGCATGGTGCTGTATATTATTGGCATGGTCACATGACCTGGGCCATGTCTTGTGCCCAAACATAGGGTTGGGTGTGATTCTGAGCCAAAACTCTGTGGGGTCCACAACCCTATCTCATCCTCTTATTTATTTTTTCACACATTGGGCTAGCATGTTCCCAAGCATTCTCCCACAAGTGGAGCTGTCTGATTTGGGGTGTCCCAAAACAAAACACCCCTAGTTCTTGACTTCCCATCTAGGGCTCCCAGAGATTTAAAAAGCGTTATGCAAAACCAACACTTTTGCACAATACAATGACGGAAAATAAATATTCTCTTTGAGAAGAAAAATTGTGAATCTCAAAAGGGACAATCTCCCCCCAAAAGAAGATATATGAGATCCTCTTATTGTGGACTACAGGGACATAGTGACAGCAGTTCCTTATTAAGTTTACTGGCCGAGCTCATTTTCAAACCTTAAAGGAAGTAAGGAACTTGGAATAAGTAACCTACCGTATTTTTCCGTGTATAAGATACCCCCATGTATAAGACGACCCCTATTTTTTTGAGCCCAAAATTAAGAAATAAATATTTTAAACATTCCGTGTATAAGACTATCCCCAATTATAAACTTAAAAAATTTGGGGGGAAATATAGTCTTATACACGGGAAAATACAGTACTTTGTCCTTGTAATGTATAGAGATAGAGAGCAGAGAGCAGTATCTTATTTGCGTAGCCCAGAAGTCTTTCAAGAGAACAGCTGTGGGGGTGGGGTGGAATCAGCAAATGCAGTTAAAATTAAACTTTAAAAAAAAATTATTTATTTTTTGCTTGTTAAACAGGGGGCAGGTAGAGAACAGCAGACTCTTCTTAGCTCTGTCACATATGAGTGAACCACAAAACTCTCTGAACAATAACTTCTCAGGATGTCATGGCAAGCTGATGAAGCACAGATTACTTGAGCAACCTTCCAGCACTGCAATGGCTTTTAAATATTTCACTGGTGAAAATAGGGACGCTTGTGAACTTTTGATAACGGCACTGTTTGCACGCCAAGGATCACCACCTTAGATGGCGCGCGCATTCACATGCTTCAAAAAATAAATAAAATTAAAAGAGCCAACTCAATCTTATGCACATTTACTCAGACCTCAGTCTCACAATTTGATGGGATACCAATAAAAAACAGTCATTTGCAAACTAATCAGGCTCCCTCCTGGATAATTTCAAATTAAAACGAGTGCAGCTTACAGGATACATATATTTCTAAGGATTTCTTTCCCTGCTTATCATCCCAGCTGAAAGAAAAATAGGGGGAAATGTACTTGGTATATATACTTAATTTCACACCTTACGGTGTAGCAGCTTGCAAGACCATCTTTAATACTGGGAATTTTAAAAAGATATTGTTTTTATAGAACTAATGCATTTTTATTCTAAGGCTGTGTCCTTATACAGACTTACCTGAGAGTACAGTCCTCTGTCTGTCCATACAAACGTACCAGACAGCTAAATCATACAAGACACACATCATATTCTCCAAGTAGGCAAGTAAGTTTAGATTAGTATTTTTTTAAGTGTGTACATTTTATTTCCCCCACTGCCATTGGTGTGCATTTTTGAGGGAAGACTATTTTCTTCCATGCCATGAGTCTTTCTGGAAATTTTTCATCTGTTGGCCAAGCCCAGTGGTAAAGATTATATAACATCTTTATCAACGACTTGGATGATGGACTCAAGGGCATCCTGATCAAATTTGCAGATGACACCAAACTGGGAGGGGTGGCTAACACCCCAGAGGACAGGATCACACTTCAAAACGACCTTGACAGATTAGAGAACTGGGCAAAAACAAACAAGATGAATTTTAATAGGGAGAAATGTAAAGTATTGCACTTGGGCAAAATGAGAGGCACAAATACAAGATGGGTGACACTTGGCTTGAGAGCAGTACATGTGAAAAGGATCTAGGAGTCTTGGTTGACCACAAACTTGACATGAGCCAACAGTGTGACGCGGCAGCTAAAAGCCAATGCAATTCTGGGCTGTATCAATAGGAGTATAGCATCTAGATCAAGGGAAGTAATAGTGCCACTGTATTCTGCTCTGGTCAGACCTCACCTGGAGTACTGTGTCCAGTTCTGGGCACCACAGTTCAAGAAGGACACTGACAAACTGGAACGTGTCCAGAGGAGGGCAACCAAAATGGTCAAAGGCCTGGAAACGATGCCTTATGAGGAACGGCTAAGGGAGCTGGGCATGTTTAGCCTGGAGAAGAGGAGGTTAAGGGGTGATATGATAGCCATGTTCAAATATATAAAAGGATGTCACATAGAGGAGGGAGAAAGGTTGTTTTCTGCTGCTCCAGAGAAGCGGACACGGAGCAATGGATCCAAACTACAAGAAAGAAGATTCCACCTCAACATTAGGAAGAACTTCCTGACAGTAAGAGCTGTTTGACAGTGGAATTTCCTGCCAAGGAGTGTGGTGGAGTCTCCTTCTTTGGAGGTCTTTAAGCAGAGGCTTGACAACCATATGTCAGGAGTGCTCTGATGGTGTTTCCTGCTTGGCAGGGGGTTGGACTCGATGGCCCTTGTGGTCTCTTCCAACTCTATGATTCTATGATTCTATATGACTCCAAAGTGTACAATTATTGTGCATGTTTGCAAGTTTCCTTCTATCGAAGTATACCTAGATTGTATCAGGCCAACATAAATCAGCCTAATACTCTCAATGTTCCTTCGCGATACAATCAGTTGCAGAGTACTCAAAACCCAGGCAAAGTTGATAACGTAAAACTGTGAGCCAAGCCTCAGAACCAGAGAACCATAATAGACAATTGAACACTAAGGCGAAGAAGATCATGAAGGGAAGTCAGCGATGTCATGTGCTGTTGATGAAATGAATCCATGCAGGGACACTCACACAAAGAGAAGTGGCTCATCTCTCTCATACAGACACACGTCAGATACTCACAAAGGCCTAGTTTGGATAGCAAGTTAAACTATGGTTTGGCATTCCAAGAACAAGCCTTGATTTCATAAGCTCACCCCATCCTCTCTCCTTCAGCATAGCTGTGAGGAGGGATTGGAAAATTTGACTTCCATTTTAACTAATCGCAGTTATTAGCTATGGTTCTTCTTCTTCATCATCATCATCATATATTATTTGTACCCCGCCCATCTGGCTGGGTTTCCCCAGCCACTCTGGGTGGCTTCCAACAAAGATGAAAAATACATTAAAATGTCACACATTAAAAACTTCCCTGAACAGGGCTGCCTTCAGATGTCTTCTAAATGTTAGGTAGTTGTTTATCTCTTTGACATCTGATGGGAGGGTGTTCCACAGGGTGGGTGCCACTACCGAGAAGGCCCTCTGCCTGGTTCCCTGTAGCTTTGCTTTCCGCAGTGAGGAAACCACCAGAAGGCCCTTGGCGTTGGACCTCAGCATCCGGGCAGAACGATGGGGGTGGAGACGCTCCTTCAGGTCTAGTGGGCCGAGGCCATTTAGGGCTTTAAAGGTCAGCACCAACACTTTGAATTGTGCTTGGAAACGTACTGGGAGCCAATGTAGGTCTTTCCAAGACCGGTGTTATGTGGTCTCGGCAGCTGCACCCAGTCACCAGTCTCGCTGCCGCAAACCAAAATTAAAGCAGCAAACCATGGTTTATAAAGTTGGCTTGTTTTCCTATCGTTTAGGCAAGCCACAGTTTAGGATTCAGACATAACAATATACTACAGTTCATTAAAAATGGAAGTGAAAGCGTTCAATCTCTTCCTTGCAGGTGTGCAAGAGGAGGATGGAGAATTGCATGTGCCTCAGGTTTAAAACATGGTTTAATCCTAGGTAGATCCAGGGCCTACTTGGTGTCTGCTCCCAGATGTGGTTAGACTACAACTCCCATCATCCCCAGCTAGTTGGACCAGTGATTGGGAATGGGAGCTGTAATCCAACCAAATCTAAGGACCCAAGGTAGTTTTAGAGTGTATTTAGCAACAGCAGTTTACAGCCTCTCTGACCTTTGACAAAAAAATAATAATAAATAAGTCCATTCAAGTCATATTTCTTAAAATCTTTTATCATTGATGTTATGTAGGAAAGTCCTAATGAGAATTTTGGCTATCATAATAAAGAACAAGGAAATATAAAGAACTCTGAAACTTGCTTGGCGCAGTCCTATTTATGTGTATGCAGAAGTAAATCCCGTGAATTCCAGTGAGATTTCTGCCAAATAGCCATGTTTAGTTTTGCAGCCCAAGTGGAGAAAATAGATGTTTTTCTTTGTTAAAGCGTGTTCTCCTTCATGGAGAGCACGTGTTGCGGTGAGGTCTGAGAGGCCACCCCTCTGTTGCTGGGCGGGTTAGTATGGATGTGATATGCCCAGTGATTGGGCAGTTGGATTACTGGGCAAATTTTGGTGTTGCCATTTTGGGGGACGGACCAAAGGTTATAAAATCAAGTCACGCAGCACTGACTGGGCTCTTTTGCTGCGTGCATCAGATCACCCGCCCACCCTCCCTAATCTAGGGCTATTGCGTTGACTTTGCTATGGGTGTGATGGGGTCATCTGCTTTTGGGGCAGGGGCGCCTGGTAGGAATTTTGTCCATTTGGCTGATTGGCTGGTGCCATTTGGTTTTTGCCTACTGCGTAGTAAATCGTCACAACTTGTAAGGTTGCGGTTAGTAAAGGTAAAGGAGACCTGACCATTAGGTCCAGTCGTGACCGACTCTGGGGTTGCGGCACTCATCTCACTTTACTGGCCGAGGGAGCTGGCGTACAGCTTCCAGGTCATGTGGCTAGCATGACTAAGCTGCTTCTGGCAAACCAGAGCAGCGCACGGAAACGCCATTTACCTTCCCGCCGGAGCGGTACCTATTTATCTACTTGCACTTTGACGTGCTTTTGAACTGCTAGGTTGGCAGGAGCAACGGGAGCTCACCCCGTCGCGGGATTCAAACCGCCGACCTTCTGATCGGCAAGTCTTAGGCTCTGTGGTTTAACCCACAGTGCCACCAGCGACCCAAGGTTGCGGTTAGGCATTGGTTAAAAATTGGTTGGTGGAGGGGTAAGGGTTGGCTGTGCCTGCCCCTCCAATGCTGCTGCAGAAAGAGAATTCCATTAAAGGAATCCAGCGGCTTGCCATTCTTTCGTCCGTAGCCCTGAATGGGGCTTGGGCCGTGCAAACCCCTGGGAGCATGCGGGGAGAGGTGAGGATCTGGCGCCCGGCTCCATGCTCCCTCCAATATTGTTTTCCCTTACTGGCTTTCGCTGGAATCTGGAAGTCAGTTCTGTCCCGGGGCGGGAGAAAGTCAGAACCAATGCCTAAGCAACCACTCACATTGATGTATTTTAATAAAGTTATGGCCAAAATTATGCCCAAAACCTTAAACAAAAATTATGTGTGAATTGTGAATTATTTAGGGGTGGCTTGAGGGGACCTTGACATGCAAAAAACAAGGCAAGACCATCTTGTAGTCACTTCAGCTGGTCCTGTGCCTAGTGCCTCATTTTTTGGTGCTCTGCAATGCTCTAAGGAGCAAATACTCTAAGTTCTGGTTTGCATAGCATTTTTTGAAAGCTTTCCTCCAGGGGTCACAGCTGAAAGAAACTTGGTTTTTGTCAAGGGAGCAGGTCTTGCTAAAGCACTGTGTTACACTTTCGGTGCCGGGACCAAGTTAGAAGTGAAACGTAAGTCTGATTTTCCTGCTGCTGCTGAGTGTGGGAAGTCTATGTTTTTACTGTAATTTTTTATCAGTGTTGGAAAGCAGTGAGGCGAACCTTCTACGCATGATGGGGAACGGATAACAGTGTATTGCAGTGGAATTTAGAGTTGCTTGGGCAGTGAAAAATGTCAGCATGTGGGGCAAATCCATGGGGCAAAAGCTGTGGGTCACTCTCAGCAATGGGATCAAGGGGGGGGGAAGAGTGTGCCTTATTGTTCTTTTCTTTCTCCCCTCCGTCCCCCAACATCTTGGGACTGTGCATGAAAATAATTTCCAGCCAAAGTTGAGGTGAAGATTAGAATGACTTCTGTAATAGGACTGAGTTGATATGAACTTGTGAAAGCTCATACTTCACCTGACTCAGTTGGAGGAGCGTGAGTCTCTTAATCTCAGGGTGGTGGGTCTGAGCCCCACATTGGGCAAAAGATCCCTGCTTTGCATGGGGTTGGTCTAGATGACCCTCGTGGTCCCTTCCAACTCTACCAACTCTTCTAAGTCTATGATTCTACGAGTAGGAGTATGAGAAGACCACAGACTCTACAGCAATACATTAATTTGCGAATCAGGTATTTCCACGGAATGCCATGTTTGCCCAGAGTTAACTCTGTCAGAGGCAGAATTCTGATCACTGGTGCAATAAGGAAAAGAAGTAAAATTATTATTATTAATAATAATAATAATTTATTTATTTATTTATACCCCGCCCGTCTGGCTGGGTTTCCCCAGCCACTCTGGGCGGCTTCCAACAGAACACCAAAATACAATAACCTATTAAACATTAAAAACTTCCCTAAACAGGGCTGCCTTCAGATGTCTTCTAAAAGTTGGATAGTTGTTTATTTCCTTGACATCTGGTGGGAGGGAGTTCCCCAGGGCAGGTGCCACTACCGAGAAGGCCCTCTGCCTGGTTCCCTGTAACTTGGCTTCTCGCAACAAGGGAATCGCCAGAAGGCCCTCGGCGCTGGACCTCAGATGAAAATCGTAAACTGGTGAAGTTCTTTTCAAAGGGTATAAAGTGGGCCTCTTATCCCTGTGGAGTCAGATATATCAACCTGAGGTCATCATCATTTGAAAGTGTACATTGCAACAGGTAAAACGTGTAAGTCCTTCAAGGAGCTGAGGACAAAAAGTGGTCAGAGTTAAACCCATTGTAAGTTTAGACAGTGTTGTGTCATTTGTGTGTTTACCTTGCAGGAAAAGGCCCTATCTTTTGTGGGATGGGGATTGTTTCGCAACAGCTTCAAATCAGCTTTAATTGTGCAGATTTTGCTGGGATGTGTTTGGAATCCTTTGTGGGTTTACTTTTCAGTTCAATGGCATTTGCTTCCAGTTAGGTGAGCTTAAGACTGCCACCTAAGTGAAGAAAATAGACGTCGTTTTTCTCTGTTAAACGACTACGCTTAACGTTCCACTTTGTAGGCACTCAGTTTGTCATGAGACTGGTACCTTGTTTCCAGATTTCTAGGAGCGAAACGGCTTTGCTTACTCATAAAAACTTTGAAATCTTCCCTTCAGTGGCCACAGTTGGGAGGGACTTGGGTTTTTGCCGAGGGCATGAGCAATGGCAAACCACTGTGGTTCACTTTTGGTGGCGGGACCCATTTAGAAATCAAGCGTAAGTTTGTTTTCTCTCTCTGTTGCTTTGGGGTACAGTGTGTCGGAAATCTATATTTTCATTTTTGTTGAGTGTTGGCGAGTTTCTGGGCATTGGGAGAAAAACTACACAAGCTGGGGAACGGACGATTATGACAGAAAACTGAGGTAGGGTTTGGGATTGTATTTTTTTCCTAACTGAAGCTGCTAAGAGCTCTGCTGGGTGGTCAGTAAAAAACGTCAGCGTGCGGGAAATGCTGCAATTCACTCTCAGCAATGGGACCAAACAGGAGATAAAACAGCGTGCATTTTATTGTTCCCTTGTGTCACCTCTGCCTCCTTCCCCACAATGTCTTGAGCTCTGCATGAAATTGATGCTAGCAGAATTTCCTAGCCAAAGCTGCAGTAAAGATGGGAATAACATCTCTAACTGGTTTAATTTGGTATAAACTAAGTGATTTCCAAAGGAGAGCCAATTTAAAGAAACAGTTTAAAGGTTTTCAGAACGTAGGGGGTCGTCCCAGAAGCTAAATTGGGTTGCCTCTAGACAAACCAATAATAATTCAGACTTACTGTTTTAAAAAACTGCTAATTGTTGAAAACTTGATGAAGAAACCAGATCACAGACAGAGAAGTGCAGAAAAAAGAACTGAATATTTAGTTGAAACAAATTCCCCCTTTCTGCACTTTACCAAGTTTTTACACTGGGTGTTCAGCAGTTGCTAATAAAAACATGTATCCTTCATAGAAAGCACTTTATTTGAAATAAATTACAGTGGGACAGGAAGGGGGGTTTTTTTGCACTATCAAGCGCTTGGAAACCAGCCCAGTTCATTTCAGGGAAATTTATTTCAATGTAAATTTGGAATATTTTGGTACCCTTAAGTCCCAATGGATGGCTGGGTGATAAAAGTTAGGTAACTCCTGGCTTGACTGCATAGAACCAAACCTGCCATCATATGTAAACTTATTTGGGGGGGCAGGGAATTCAATTAAACCTGCATAGGATTGGGTTGTATGGCACCACTGGGTATCGATTTAGCACACATTCATCTGAATGAATGGAAAGGAATCCCTTCGGAGCAGTGAACAGTGATTTATGCACTTGATAAAGTAGCTAGAACACAACAGATGATTTCTGGACTTGTTAATTTGAGAATACATTAATTTGAAAATGCAGGTATTTCTAGGTGAGATCCTATTTGTAGTTAAGTCTAGCATAAGATGCTAGAAATACTCTATGATTGATTTTCACAGGGGTTTCAGTCTGACTGTTCTGAAAAAACTTATGTTAGAAACAGATATAGATATAGCTCTATAGACTACCGTAATTGGAGGACCTTTGCCCAAATGGTAAAGTCCTTTCCCCCCTCTTTTGGCTGTGGCGTACCATGCATATTGATGGTGCGGTGCAAATATATTGATTGATCAACAAATACATTGATAAATCAAAATCTGTTCTATCATAGATAAGTCAAGAGGAACCTAAAAAAATAATAATAAGCAGGCATTTTGTCAATGTGCTCTGTCAAAGGCAACTGGGATTGAAGATGCTATTAATTTATAGCAGAGACAGAATTCTGCAATAAGGAAAGTTAGGGGGGAAAGAAAAAGAGTGAAATTTCAAGGCTATTTTCAAAGCGAATATAGTATTTATTTTGTCCCTACCAATCTGATGGTGCAATACTTTGCACAGATAAGTTACAGCAAGTAAAATTAAATATATGTCCTTTACGAAACTTAGAGCACAAGCTGATCAATGTTAAGCCCACTGAATGCTTAGCACATGCTTAATTATTTGCTGTTGAAATTAATTGGGGGACTTCATATTTTACTGGTTTGGGCCATTGTTAGTTACTTGGGCATTTCTGAAGTAATTAAGAAAGGAGAAACAACGTAAAATATGGTAAAAACGTAAGTTTTAAGATGGAATATAGAATTTAACTCCCCTATGTGATTCATGTATTGGTGCTTAGCGAACGGTTTAAACAGCACGTTTCATTTATAGGATACAAAATGTAAGAACCATGTACGAAGAAGTAAAGAAATATCTGCACTTACACTCTAGCCAAATTTATAACAATGCACCACACACCAATTACCCAAGCCAAAGTAATGCAGAATATTTCTAATTTTGCAGCTTTCTGTATGTGTTCTCCCCACGAGCTCAAATTCTCTGTCCCTGCTGCCCCACATTAGGACAGGGCAGTAATGCTCTTTGCAGCACCCAGATATGAAAATTGGCCCGTGGAGTCTTTTCTCCTGTTTTAACTTTACTCAGTAAAGATTGAAAGATACGACTAGGAAAACGTTCACTTTAAAAATGTGTTGAACTATTTCTTTTACAACGACACCTGCCAAACTTTAGATCAGTTCTCTGCACAGATACTGCGTCTTGTCTGAGGGTCTGCTGAGCCCAAATTTTACTTTCCTGCAGTACAAACACTGTCACGAACACTGTAGGATTTGAATTTCTATGGTTTTCAGAGCAACTGTGTCCATGTTCGCACAGCAATGAGACATTCTCAATTCAACAGGGTTGACTTCCAGATAAGGGGAGGTAGGGTTGCAGTTTGAAGTCTTTTCTGTACCTTTAACAGCTGTTTAATCTGCAGACATCATTAGCAAGAATAAAAGCATTATACCTCCAATCAGTTTCAGAATGTTGGGCTGCTCCTAAATAATAATAATAATAATAATAATAATAATAATAATAATAATAATAATTTATTTATACCCCGCCCATCTGGCTGGGCTTCCCCAGCCACTCTGGGTGGCTTCCAACCAAATATTAAAATACAGTAATACATCAAACATTAAAAGCTTCCCTAAGCAGGGCTGCCTTCAGATGTCTTCTAAAAGTCTGGTAGTTGTTGTTCTCTTTGACATCTGGTGGGAGGGCATTCCACAGGACGGGTGCCACTACCGAGAAGGCCCTCTGCCTGGTCCCCTGTAACTTGGCTTCTCGCAGCAAGGGAACTGCCAGAAGGCCCTCGGAGCTGGACCTCAGGTTTGGGTAGAATGATGGGGATGGAGGCGCTAAAGGTGTGGGGGAAGCAATGATGATGATGATGATGATGATGATGGCAAATCTGAGCCTGAATGCTATTTGCATTTCTGGTCTGATCAAGGCGTCCAACTAGGGGGTGTCATGAAACAGCAGCAAATACTTCACTTACTTTAGGGGGGGGGGGAGAAGTAGAGGGGAAACTTGTGGATTTTCGTTGCCTCAAGCACTTGGTACCTTCACAATTTTTTGGACAGTGGCGCCATTTGCAGCAAAATGTTTTGAACTAGCACTGTGGTCTTTCAATGGCCCTCTGGTACACCTGAATGATGCAATATTCCGTGTTCTTGTTCGTTTACGCAGGAAGAGAAGATTCCACCCCATCGGCAATCATTTTCCCACCCTCGCCGGAGCAACTTAAAACGGATTCAGCCACTGCGGTGTGCCTGGTCAGCACGTTCTACCCAAGCAGCCTGACCGTGGTCTGGAAAGTGGACGGCACTCCCATCACAGAGGGTGTCGAAACCAGCCCCCCAGCGTCAGATACAGACAACACCTATAAGCTGAGCAGCACCCTGACGCTCCCTACATCAGATTTCAACACCCACGAATCATACAGTTGTGAAGTGACGCACAAAACGTTGTCCAGTCCTCTTGTGAAGAGTTTTAGGAGGTCCGAGTGTTCCGGATAGGCCCCTCTATAAAGCAGGCTCTTCTTTTACTGGTCATTTATAGTCATTCCCCTGTTTACCACCCCTATCAGAAATCCCCCTAGTATTATGACTGTAGGAAATATCTCATATTGTATGTCCTTTCTCTGCAGTCTGTAACTTCTTCCACATCCTTTTTTCCTCTTACCGATATCACGTTAACCTTGGGAAATAATATAAATGCAGAAATAAACGCATTATGTTGAAAAGCATGGTGTCTCCCTCCACTTCTTGTTTTCAAGGTTGCAATCAATGGAAATCAAGCAAAATCATATGAATTATAATACTTAATGGGGTGGTGGGTTGAGGGAAGAGGGCAGGTTGCTGCTGGCTATCGATCCTAAGGCATGATGAATCCACCATAAGGAATCAATATGACCATAGGCATGGTTGGTAAAAGGTCTTAAAACATCCACCTGCTCTGAAAGGACTTTTCAAGGCCAAGCAAATATGGCCTCCTATGGTCACTACATTCCTTTATCCACTGAACGGGTGAGAATTTGTTGGTTGGTGCCTTTGGTTGCCATGGTGCACAGTTAGAGGGTAAATGGCCTAAACATCCCTAAATGGCCTCGGTCCTGTATACCTGGAGGAGCGTCTCTACCCCCATTGTTCAGCCTGGACACTGAGGTCCAGCGCCGAGGGCCTTCTGGCGGTTCCCTCATTGTGAGAAGTGAGGTTACAGGGAACCAGGCAGAGGGCCTTCTCGGTAGTGGCGCCCACCCTGTGGACCACTCTCCCTTCAGATGTGAAGGAAATAAGCAGCTATCCTACGTTTAAAAGACATCTGAAGGCAGCCCTGTTCAGGGAGGTTTTTAATATTTAATGCTGTATTTTTTTTAACACTCGACTGGGAGCCTCCCAGGGTGGCTAGGGAAAGTCAGCCAGATGGGCGGGGTATAAATAAATTATTATTATTATTATTATTATTATTATTATTATTATTATTACTAGTACTAGATTTACAGTGCCAACCTATATCCATTTATTTCAGTTAAATCCACATAATCCTGGAGCTTGCCCTTTCTTTCTTTCTCTCTCTCTCTCTCTCTCTCTCTCACACACACACACACACACACACACCCTACAATGTCCAGGGTTCCCTGGAGGAGCGGGAATGTCTCTGAGGTCTCTTCTGCACTGTATATTTCAAGTACAGTGGTACCTCCAGATACGAACGGGGTCCGTTCCGGAGCCCCGTTCGCATCTAGAGGTAAACGTATCTAGCGACGGCATGTCTGCGCACGCACGCGTCGCTTTTCGCTGCTTCTGCGCATGCGCGTGACGTCATTTTGAGCGTCTGTGCATGCGCAAGCGGCGAAACCCGGAAGTAACGCGCTCCATTACTTCCGGGTTGCCGCGGAGCGCAACTCGAACGTGCTCAACTCGAAGCGTATTTAACCCGAGGTATGACTGTGCTTCCCACATAGAACTCTGGGAAATGTGGTTTGTTCAGGGTGCTGAGAGTTGTCAGGAGACCCCTATTTCCTTCACAAAACTACAATTCTCAGAGTGGTTTGACGACCAGCCCTTCTTCCCAATGAACTCTGGCAACAGTAGCTCTGTGAGGGGAAGAGGGCTCTCTTAACAAATTTCAGGACCCTTAACAAAGGACAATTCCTTGTCTCTAACGCTAGGGCGTTAATACTTTATGTGGGTAGCTGCTTGTGTGTGGTTTGTGCGCCATCATCCACACACGAGCGCTTTCCATTTTATGCCCCCAAAATCTATATCGATGCTTCCCATCCTCACTAGTGGGTGGGCTTAATGTGTTGTACAGTGGTACCTCGGCTTAAGTACTTAATTCGTTCCGGAGGTCCGTTCTTAACCTGAAACTGTTCTTAACCTGAGGTACCACTTTAGCTAATGGGGCCTCCCGCTGCCGCCACACAATTTCTGTTCTCATCCTGAAGCAAAGTTCTTAACCCGAGGTACTATTTCTGGGTTAGCGGAGTCTGTAACCTGAAGCATCTGTAACCTGAAGTGTCTGTAACCCGAGGTACCACTGTATTCGTGCAGCATATTGCTGCCCCTTTTACTCAGTTAGTACTTTGTGCTCATCATAACTTCTGGAAACCTGAGGTCTGTTGTGGGTATGCATGCAGGTATTTGTGTGTGTGTGTGCGCACATTTAAAATATATATGAAATAAAACATTTACACAAAAGAACAGAAAAACCATCACCACCACCACCACCTATGGTAATAAATAACCCAGGCAATGATTTTGAGTCACTTGTGTGAAAAATCCTTTCCTTCCCACCTCCTGTATCTGCAAGGCAAACTTCCTTTTAATAAAGGTGCTTTGCTCAACAGCAGTTCCGCGTGAAAGAGCTGTTTTAGAAATAAAATAAATGAACTTCAAACCTGCCTTCAGCTACAACTGGTGAAGAAAGGCACCTTGAATTGTTTCGGCTATTGCCGGAAACATGATGGAAAGGTGTGCATGAAATTTCCGTGAAATGTCACTGCACACTAAAACTAAAACTTAAATCTGCCACACAATGCATTCCTGTGTGTCTACCTGTGGATCAGGAAAATCCTAATTTGGTGACTAAAATGTGTGGGCTGCCGCTTGGATGAGGATGGCATCATGTGGATGCCACACAAAAAACAGAGGCCCAAGCAGTTTCAAATCCACAAGGTCAATGTGGACAAGCCCTAAATATCTCTGGCACATGCGTTTTCTCGTTGGCCTCCCTGAATGTCGCCTTGCACTTGCAGTGTTCAGACAGACACTAACATTTTCACCCTTAGGAGGAATGCATCCTGAATTGGACAACACTCCTCAGTATCTGTCGGCCTTCTCCCAGGGATCAGTTTCGTAGCTGATATTACCCCTTTTCCATTTTAAGCACCGGCAACCTGGTTCTACTCCAGTTAAAATATATATATTAGATATAATATCTGGATAGAGGTTATAATAGACGAAATATGAAAAGTCATTTGATGGGGGAAGATAAAGTTGGAATAGTGATGAATTGGGTTTATTATTATTATTATTATTATTATTATTATTATTATTGCTGCTTTGTTTACATTTGTCTAGCTATATAAGTGCATTTTAAAAGGGTGCTAGTTACTGAGGAGGACAGTGGCACAATTTTAGCCAACCTATTTTTAATTTTACTGCTTTTGCCAAATGAAGAGACAAAATTGTGAAGTACGCCTCTTCTCCAGAGTACCAGCTGAATAGAGCTCAGAGTCTGTAGCTTTCACAATAGGCAGAATACATGCGGCATTTAATTAGGACCAAATACAAAAGCTTCATTTGGTGAGTTGAAATTCTTGCTAGTTCATCTCCTTTACAACACTGAGTATCAGGAATCCACCAACAGGACTAAGGATGTAATAATCGTCTTAATTAAAGGTACCCCTGCCCATACGGGCCAGTTGTGTCCAACTCTAGGGTTGTGCGCCCATCTCACTTAAGAGGCCGGGGGCCAGCGCTGTCCGGAGACACTTCAGGTCACGTGGCCAGCGTGACTAGGCTGCTCTGGCGAGCCAGCACCAGCGCAGCGCACGGAAACGCCGTTTACCTTCCCGCTATAAAGCGGTACCTATTTATCTACTTGCACTTAGGGGTGCTTTCAAACTGCTAGGTGGGCAGGAGCTGGGACCGAAAGACGGGAGCTCGCCCCGTCATGGGGATTCGAACCGCCGACCATACGATCGGCAAGTCCTAGGCACTGAGGTTTTACCCACAGCGCCACCCGCGTCCCAATCGTCTTAATTAGTTGTGATTAATTAATTCCCACAAACAGTGGCACATAAAACTGATGGTATCACCACACCTTTAAAATTAAACATTTTATAATGTTGATACACGATCTTTCAAAGAAGCTGAACATTTGATAAATGAAAGAGGCTAAACTGGACTCCTGAACCTAGTCTTTACTTTGCCTAAGAGTATTTTTCCTGATTCCCAATGATTGGGAATAAAAAATATTTTCTATAGGTCCACGAGTTTAATATTTTCTTTTCTGACAGCAAATTTTCAACTCCTTTTGCAATGTTGTGTGTGTGGTGACCTCATTACGGTGGTGACGGTCATAGTTCTCATTTCTCAACTTTCTTTTTTTTTTTTTTTTAATAATTTTTATTAACTGGCCAATCACATCAAATTTAATCACATCACATAAATTCCAAATTACAAAGCCAAATTTTTAAATTTTGTTGGGGGAACCCATACTTCAAGATCCAAAGGGGATTCAAATCATCTTCTTATTACTGCATTAATGTCCAAATCAGTCCCAATCAGTCCAAACAGAGTTCATAGTTCTATCCAATCTTATCTTGGTGTTTCCACATCATATCTTGTTCATATAATTTTTCTTTTTCCTTTACGATCTCTTCTGTTAGTCTCCTTAAGCCGATAAGCAAATATAATAATCCTGTGTGAATTTCCCGTTCTTCCAATCTAAGTCCAGATGGTTTCCATAAATCATCTCCTTCGTAGATAACATCGCTCTTTCCATCATAAATTAGGCAGTTGTCACTCTTAAATCCCACCGAGGAGTTAGTCCACGATATGTAAACAACTCTGTTTCTTCTCCTCCCAGACTCAAGAGCTCCGACAGTGCCTCCCAAAATGGCGACGGCATTTTTAACTGCATCATTCCAAAACTCTTAAATTTCCAGCTTCGTCTTGGAACATTGCTTTGGTTCGAAAATTTATCTCCACACAGCCTTAAATCCACAACTTAAGTCCTTAAAACGACATTTCTGACTCTTTAGGGAGGGATTCTTGTTTAATCACATAGAGAAATAAAAGAGAGTTTTCCCCCTCCCCTCAGTCATTTGCCGTACCGTATCTTGACGGCTCTTCTCAGATCGTCTGCTTGTGTTGTTTTATCAGAGATCTCTTCTGTCAGCAGTCTTTACTCCCCTCTTCCTTGAAGTATGTGCAACTTATCTCGTCCAAATTGTTTCTTTTGAAGATTCTTGCAAACTAGTGGCGCGGATCAGAGACGGCTTCGAGGA